TCTTTCTCTCTCTCTCTCTCTCTTTCTCTCTCTCTCTCTCTCTCTCTCTCTCTGTGTGCCCCTGGAGGTCCTACTTGTATACTCCTGTTTGTTGTATTTTCGTCTTGCTTTTTATCACAACTCTGAATGAAGAAAAGAAAAAAAAAATCAACAAATGGTTGCCCTTGCTTCTCTCTTCTCACACTGTAGGCTAACAACAGGTTTAATGACTCAGGTTGTTGAAGGTCTTCATTGGTATGCTGCACTTACTCAAACTACAGTTAAATGACCTATCTATTTCTAAACATGTATACTATTTTGTGTGGACATTTCTGTGTGCTGGGACGCTGTAGGCCTCCTGTTCTCAGTCCTCTAAGTGTTTAGAGGGCACCCCTGGTAGGTCGTACTTTTTTCTTTCAGTTTGTCGTCTCCTTTATATCTGTCTTTTTCCCAGCACTAATTGACTATTATTGTGTCGATATGTTTCACTTTACTCAAAACTGACAAACAAACTTTTCAGCCCTTCTTTCCCATCAAACATATATCGTCCTTATCTCCCTTTCTTCTTTTTTTATGTTTATAACTCTCCTGTAACACCTCTAATCTTCTGGCGCTCATATGACCTTATGCAGTTGCGAGTGCCGTAAAACCCCTTCTATAAAAAAAAACAACAACCAAAAATCTCAGCCCATGTTGGTCCCACAGGAAGGATTGAAGCAGCCTGTACCTCTTAAATACAATCTTGACTATGTTGACGGCCACGTAAAACATCTACAATTACAGTTATAAAAAATGTTTGTGGTTTTCCTTCCCATCCTACAGGTAACCCACTGCTCCTATTTGCCAACCATGAGGACGTCCAAATAATCGATGTGGCCAGCCCCACGTCCAATGGCACCATCCTGATATCCGGCCTGGAGGACGCCGCTGCCGTAGATTTCATCTACTCAGACGGCGTCATCTTCTGGTCAGATGTCAGCCTGGAGGTGATCAAGAGAGTGTACCTTAACGACACCAAACACCCGAAGACGGTGGTGGCCACAGGATTGGTCTCTCCAGATGGGCTCGCCTGCGACTGGCTGGGGAGAAAGTTGTACTGGACGGATTCCGAGACCAATCGGATAGAAGTCAGCAATCTTGATGGAGAACATCGCAAGGTTTTGATCTGGCAGAGGCTGGACCAGCCCAGAGCCATCGCCTTAGATCCCGAAAATGGGTATATTTTATTTTTATTTTTTTTTATTTAAAAAAAATAGAATGGTGGTTTGATTGACAGCTAGTGTTTTGTAGTGTGTATTGTTCTGTTGTGTCTTGTTTAGCAGCGTCTTCTTTTGTAGTATCTGTTGTTTTGCAGTGCAGTTGGTTTGAGGGTGCCACTCGCAGCTTCTGCTTCTTTTTTTTCCCTCTGTTGTTTCTGTCTTATTCACTTTTTCCTTGCACTAAATGACAGTTATTTTGTCACGATGCTTCTCTACTCAATCAAACGTTGTTTTGTAGTGTCTGTTACATTAACCAGCTGATGGTATATTCCTTTTTTTAAAGGTGATTTAATGTTTTATTTTATTCATTAACTAACAATCTGCAAACACGGGTAATTGAAGGATTCTTTCCTTTCTAAGACAAACGAAAGCATTCTCTTATCTTAGTTAAGTCTCATGAAAAGAAATCTTGATTGTGAAATGTGAGCTTTTATATATATTTTTTTTTAGCACCCATGTTAATTATGCGTGTGCCTAAGCTCTTTCTTGAATGTGTAAGGATACCCAGAGAATATGAACGAAATGAGATTTGAGAGTTAGTTATGAAGCTTTTTGGGGGGATAATCATCAGTTTGTATTGTACTGTAGCAAGAATGATTCTTGAACCTCTCTCAAATGTATTGACCTCTTGCTTTGCTGTAAAAGAGTTATGCTGTTATCTGTATCTTGTTTTTGTTTGTCTATGCTTTATCTTTTGTGAAAGTGCTCAATGGTTGGAATTTTGTTAATACATGTCTGTTGAGCACAAACTGAAACTCTTGTTTTTGCTTGCTCTTTGTCCTAGCTACATGTACTGGACTGATTGGGGAGAGACGCCCAAGATTGAGAAGGCTGGCATGGATGGCAATGAAGAAACTCGCTCTGTGATAGTCAGCAAGAATATCCATTGGCCCAATGGTCTCACCATTGACTATGCAGAGTCTAAAATATACTGGGCTGATGCCAAGCTGAGCCTGATTCACAGGTATGGTTTTTTGTATGGAAACTTCATTTTTTCAAGAAAAATGTATAACAAAATTGCATTTTTATTGATTCCAGTGAAGAGATTTAGTTCACAGTGCAGATAGTATATAAAAACAGTAGAGTCTGCTTAAACAGAACACTTTTAATAATAAAACAGCAGTAAACTCTAAGAAAAGAAAGTCCTTGCAACCTCTCTAAACTGAAAACCCAGTTAAACTGAAAAAAATCTGTCTTTCATGCAGATATTGGTTTAAGCTTACTCCACTGTAGATGAATACACATATATACAGAGCTATACAATATTTCGTCAAAGTTGCATAATACACAATGTCACTCCAATACAGACTAAGCCCATGCCCAGTCTGTCTTTAAAAAACTGATTGTTTGAGAGTCCCTGTGTAAGGTCCTTTTTCTTCTCATGCCCTCTCCTTTTTTTTAAAGACTGTCAGATGTGCTTTATCTTACTCTCACTGAAGTGAATCAAGCTCTTGTTTTTCTTTATGTTGGACTTTTACAGTTTTAGATTATTTATAAGACACAGATAATTGTATTGATTTTGCGCCTTGTCATTGTTTTCGTTTAACACTACTCTTTTTAAGTAAAGTGCATTCCTATTTTTTACTTCTGAGGTAAATTTTTAACTTAATTGTATTGTGAAAATATAAAAGTTTCTTTTCTTTGTGATTAAGTACAAGGTTCGAAGTCAAGTCCACATGTCAAGATTTGATAAAATGACGATAGTAATGGTAAGAAAAGAAGTAATGCCTGTAGTTGTTTCTGTCACTATAAGTTTGAATGTTTGTTTAAATTGGGTTTTTCTTCTTTCTGTTTCTCAAATAAAGCTCTGAGAGTGGTTGGAGGGCGCCACTTTTGTGTCTGTTGGTGTGGGACTATTTCCTTTCACTAAGTGACTGATATTGTGTCGAAGCATTGCACTTTACTTAATCCCAAATAAAGCTCTCAAATTTCCTTCTACCTCTTTTGATTTTCAAAGTGATTATGTTTCAGTTGTGATTTTGATGGAGGGAACCGTCGGCCCGTTGTGGAAGGTTCTCTCCCTCACCCCTTTGCCTTAACCGTGTCCGGAGACAGCCTGTACTGGACTGACTGGCACACCCATTCCATTCATGGATGTAACAAACTGACTGGTGCTAAGTGCTTTTTAGTGTTGGATGATATCTACGCTCCTATGGATATTCATGCTTTCATGCCCAGCAGACAACCCAATGGTGAGTAAGAAAAAAGAAAGATTTCAGTTTCAGTTCTGTAAGTATTTATTTCTTTAAAGAATGTCTCTTTTATTTCTTGCAGGTATTTCAGTTTGTAATCATGTGATTACAGCCTCTTGTAGGTCAAATAAATTTAGCTCTCCTTTAGTCAAAGTATTTTTTTGTGATTGTGAACGATGTCATTGACTAAGTGTAGAAATATTTCAAAAGGTCTTGTTGCTTGTTTAAGGTCTGTTCAGAGTTAGAGTGCATGATGTACCAGTGGTCTTTTGTACCATGGACTTGAGTTATGTATTTGTGGTTTGTGATAACTTGTGTATTGAGAAGGTTATTGCTTCTATGTCCCATGGGAGTGGTTAGCAGGTGCAGAGAATGATTTGATGTTTTTATGAAGTGTTGTTATGGGTAACTTTGTAAGCTATTAAAAAGGCATGATTCCATCAACTGTTTTGGGTCATTTCAGTGGACTTTCATTGTAAATTTTTTTAGATGGTAAAATGACCAGGCTTTGTGCACTTTTGACTGCACTATACAGTGCTATTATTTAATCTTCTCTGTGTGTAACAGTTAAGTGGAAGAATGAGTGGTTGGCGGATGCTCTTGTGTGGTTTGCTCCTTTTTCCCTATCAAACATCTATCCTCGTTATCGCTCCTCCTTTTTTGTGTTTGTTACTCTCTAGTCACGCCTCTAATCTTCTGCACTTATATCTATATGATTTAATTGTAATTAGTGCTGTAAAACTGAAACCGAAACAAAAATAAGTGGATGTCCATATACAACTGCTTATTTATTGTCTTATATCCTCCTCACTGGAAAGTTGACATGAGCACACACCACAATATCTTGTAATATTTGTTTCTTTGCTGCACCTCTGATTTTTGTGTGTCCATCTATTGTGCTTTTGCCACAACTAAATGACTTATAAAAGGTTTCAGGATGCTGGGTTGCTTTTTATTTAGCTGGAACACATTTTTTTAAATTAGTGATTTATGATTGAGTAGAATGAGATACAAATTGTAAGTAGAATTTAACTTGATCTCAACCTGTGTAATATTTAAGAAGTTTTCAGTGAAATTTCGGAATGCAAAACACAGAAATAGATTTGACAACCGGGAAAATGTGCTTTATTTCTGTTTGATCATGATGATTCTATTCTGGACAAACTCAAAACTAATGGAGATTTTACTTTTGTTATCTTTTGCCCCCTTTGGAACCAGATTTATCCAATATCGGAGGTAATGTGCTCTTCTTTTGGCCTGATAGTGTGGTTTTTTTGTAGTTTGATGCATTTGTGCCAATGTCTAATTTATGTTCTCTTGTCATACTCAAGTCTGCTGTTGTGTCATATTGGTAAATCCCCGCATGCATACTTTGCATCTTTCCTTTGTTTTTTTTTGGTTGTTTTTTTGTGTGTGTGTCAAAGAAGCGTTTGGCATTGCTTCTTGGCCTTTTGGCTAAGATCAAAGTGTGGTATCTGTTTTTATCAGCTTAACAGAATCGTTTGGCTTTCCCTGTGCCCATGATTGTCCCTTTTTTTTGTTTTAATGTTTTTCACTGTATTTGCTCACTTTCAAGTTGGATTATTTTAGAGTAATTGAAGAAATCCTTAATTGGTGTCTGGGGTGTAATAATTGAGCTTGCGTTTCAACTTTGAAAAGACATTTTATTGAATTTCTCTGTCTCTGTGCTGGGGTGGTCATGGTCAGCTGGTAACTTTAGTCCTGAATGTTGTATTATTTTGACGAGAGGACAAAACATTTTCAACAAATTTGAAGCAATCGATGGTCATGGTACTCTTGTGAGGGGTAGAATGAATAGCCCTTATGAGAGGCGGTCAAGTTTTGTGATCACTGTCATAAGGGACCTGAGACTGTGTTGTTTTTTCTAGAATCAAAATAAAACTCTGGGTTAAAGTACTAGAAGTGGATGGTTGGCGGGTGCTCTGGTGTGGTTTGCTTCTTCTTTCCTATAAAACATCTATCGTCTTTATCTCCCTTTCTTCTTTTTTAATGTTTGCTACTCTCTTGTAACACCTTTAATCCTCTGGTACTCATATAACCTTATGCAGTTGCGAGCGCTGTAAAACCTCTACTAAAACAAAAAAAAGTACTAGAAAAGAGGAGGGGGGGGGGGGTTATGCGCTCTGCTTGGATTCTTTGTTCTGTGTTGGACTGATGAAATAAGGGTCAAATCCAGCTAGGTTGAAGGAATGAGCATGCCCTGTAATACATGTAATAACAGTTGCATAAGTTATATATAGTAGGGCATATCCATGCTCTACAGCATGCTCTATGCGCTTTACAACCATTATAACCCCAGCAGAACGGAGAATACTCCGAAACATTCTCGGCTTCCCAGGAAGCATACAGTGCGGATTGTATGCACTCAAATGTTAACAAACTGATGAAATCTTTCGCTGTTCATAACTGAGTTCCCATTCCCACCTGAGTGAAGTGTGGAAATTTTGTGTTAAGTGCCTTTCCCAAGGGTGCCACGTTCTCCTTCTGTCTGTGTAATGATCTTCTTGTCTCTTGATTGTCAAAAGCATATTTATGATGGCATTGATGGGGTTTAAGAATATCTGTCACATTTTGAACATTTTGATGAATTTTTATTTCAAGAGACTTGTGTATGTGTCCTTATTTCTTGAACAATACTGTACAGTGCAGCCTGTTTCTATGAAGTGATCCCTTTAGGGGGTGTGGCCAGAGAGTGCCTCTGGTAGTTCCTATTTGTTTACATCCCTCTGTTGTTATTATTTGTTGCACTGATTTTCTCTTTATTGATATGTGTGTGCCTAAAGATATAATATTACATTTATGTTTTGTGTGTGTTTCTGTAGAATATATTACATGTATTTGTACAGGGTGTCTGAAAATAAAAAAGAGGACTCGTTTAAAGGGCAATAACTTGGATCTTTGGACCTATTTCAACAAACTTTTGAAGAAATAAAATTCAACCAAGGTAATGGTATATTTTGTCAATATGAAAAAAAACAACAACTGACGTGTTAGAAAAGTACCAAGCTTTTAAAATGGTGACAAAAATTGAGTGAAATACAAAACTTTGCAACTTCTTAAAAATCAGTCACATTGTTCTATTTTAGACACTTTGTGCATTGAAGAACAAATTTATCAAAAATTTATATTGTCAGTTATAAAGTCAGGAAAGTGGTGGCTGTTTAAATCTCCAAGTGTTGACCATTTCTCTCCATACAAGCTCCAATACACCACTGGACATTTTGTAATACTGTGGCATGCTTCGGGGTCAGTTCTTTGGACGTCCTTTTCAACATTGAGTTTCCATGTTCGATTGTTTGTGGGTTGTTTCCATAAATTTTTGTCTGTCAAAAAACCCCAAGGGTAAAAATAAAAGGAGCTACTCGAGGGGAGGGGGGGGGGGCAATTTAGTGACCATTCATTTGTAAATATTCAGCTTATTATAAAGGTGTTCCCCGAACCTTTCTTGCTACCATTTGATTAGTTTTCTTCATTATTTATTTACAAACATAATGTCCCCATGGTTGAATTTTATTTGCTCAGACATTTGCTGAAATTGATGGAGAGATGGATGAGTTACTGCCATTTAAGTGGGTCCTCTTTTTGACACCCTGTACTATTTATATTATTCTATATTCACTTACATAGGAGAAGAGAGAGAGAGTGTGTGAGGGCGGAGGGAAGGAAAGAAATTCCACACTCAGGTCTAGTGTAATGGTAGCAGTTACCCAACTTGTCCGTTGAAATAAAGGGCTCAACCAATTCCCAGAATTGATTTCTATACTACCCGTTAACTCAGAAGTGATTGCCTAAACATAATAATATCATTATTTGGGATTGCTACAAGTCTTCAGAAACCTTTTTGCTCCTGCATGTTGACTTGTACATTTGCCCTTTAGGTATGTTTTTACATGTAAACAATGACATTGCATGTCACCGCATGGCCTTTTCCCCCTGACTAGTATGTTTGGAGGGAGGAGGGGGGGGGGGGGTGGGGGGTGGTCTTGAATAGACCAGCTGTGCTTTCACTTGACTTGAGCTGGACCACTTGAGACTTGCATCTACATTATTGTCTTCTGGGATTTTGCTTGCTGTTTGTTCTGGGTAGGATGAAAGTAGCCCATCTCCTATATGGCCTGTGTTGTGTTAATGGAAGCTTAGAACCTTTACAGTCATGAGGAAAATAGGGTTGAGTACATTTTTAATTTAAAAGATGTAGTGTTGTGTTTGACAGAGTTAGTTGGAAATAAAATTCACATCTCGACTAGCGTGCACCTGCCCCCTTGCTCTTTGGGCATAAAGATTTCCTCTTAGTTTGGTGTGCTTGGGCATAAAGATTTCCTCTTAGTTTGGTGTGCATGCTATCCAGTCGATATCAACTTCCTAGTGTGTAGAACTCTGCCATGCCTCACTTTTCAAAATGGCAAATGGTTGAGTCTTACACTCTAAGCAGTCGATATGAAGTTTTACTGTACATTTGTTTCATAATGCCTCAACGAGTTCCTAGGCATATATATATATAGTTTCTCTTCAGAAATTGTGGGTGTGTCTTTTGTTGGTGGTTGAAGTAGGAGACAAAGATTTTTCGCTGAATTTTGTAAGAAAATGGGTTTTAAAATCAAACCTTGTCCATTTGCTGTGATGTGGTAATAATGGTATTATTTGTTGCAATTTTCATTTTGTCTGTAATTGAGGAAGTTGGGGGCAACAGGATGTCTGATGGTGTGATATTTTTTCTTTTTGTTTGTTGGGCACTGGCAATGAAAATACTCTTGATGATTTGATTTTAAGTCTTGTTGTGAGTAGAATGAAATAGGTATTCTTGAAACATCCCTTTCAGATCTGTCTGAAGTATTAAATTCTGGAGAAGATCATGGGGTTGGTGGGTGCTACAGTGTTGTGTGCTGTTTTCTTCTTTTTAGTGTTACTTAGACCCTTCTCCTTTTCAATGATTCCTTTCTGATTTTTATATTAAGAGGTATTTGGGTGTCTTCATTTTCTTTCTTTCTTCTGATGTTGTCTGTGTGTCTTGCTATTGTGTTGATGCTCTTCTCTTTACTCAAACTGAGGACTTTGGCAAGTGTTCTGGTGTGGTTTGCTCCGTCTTTGATGTCAAACATCTATCATCCTTACCTCTCCTTCTTTTTTGTGTTTTTTCCTCACTTGTAACACCTCCAAACTCCGGCACTTATATGACCTTATTGTGTTGCAAATTCTGTAAAACTTATACAAATACAAAAAACCCTCATAGGACTGAGTGGAATTAAAGAATGTGTGCTGGTTTGGGGATTGTATGTGTATGTCTTTCTTTCTTTTTTTTGGTTAAAGATCTCACATGTGCATTTTCTGTTCTTTGATTTATTTGTGAGTTAGGTTGAGTGATGTTTCTGTACAGTGCTTAGAGTCCTCTACGGATTTGGTGCTATATAAATTTCCATAATTATTATTATTATAATTACTTTTTTTTACATTCCTTCTATTGTTTTGTTTGTCTGTGTCTGTCCTGCTTTTTCACCAGCGCGGAAGGACCATTACTTTGTACGCATGCTTGACTTAAAGTAAAAGGAACCTCACCAAATGTCCGTTTCGTTTTAACGGCACTGTAAAAAGAATCCTGTCCAGAATGTGAGCTGGTGGTAAGAAGCCAGGCCTGTCATTGGTACTGTTTCTTTCCTTCCCCTCTTTTGCTTTTTTCCTGCTTTGAATGGCCGTTATTTTGTTGTCTTTTTACTGAAACAAATTAACAAATGTGGCTGGGGGTATTAACTTTAAGGAATTTAACCCAGTGTCCTTATTATGATAATGATAAATGCGATGTGAGTGGTAGGTACTAATGTGAGATATGTCCTTATATTGTGTGCAGGTCGAAACATGTGTGGAGACAACAATGGGGGCTGCTCTCACCTCTGCCTTATGTCGCCAACACCGCCTTACTTCACCTGTGCCTGCCCCACCGGCATTAGGCTGCTGGCTGACCAGAGGACGTGTGCTAAAGGTGATGAGTGTTTGTTACACACTCGAGTTGTGAAAGACTATGTGGGTGTGGTTTTTCTCCTTCTTTCCTATCGAACATCTATCGTTCATATCTCTCCTGAATCAAGTGGCTTTAATGGGTCTCACAAATGCATTTTGAAATTTTTTTTTAAAGGAAGAAATATATAAAATGACTTATCGTCAGTGTAGTCATCGACTGATATTTCAAACTTAACTTTTCATTGTGTACATATCGTCATTTTTACGTGGGTGGCAGAGGGATTCAAGTTGTAGGTTCCTCTTCGTTACTCATGTATTGCTTCTGTGAGAGACAGTGTGGCTTATCCATTGTACTGATTTATATGAGCCTTATCGAGTCTGTGTGCTTCACTTTAAATCAGAAGAACGAACATACTAATCATTTTACCTGTATTTCATTGTTCTCAGGTGCAGAAAAGATACTGTTTCTGGCACGACGTCAAGACATCCGACAGATTTCCTTAGACACACCTGACTACACGGATGTGTTGCTGCCCCTTGACCGTGTGAAACATGCCATTGCCCTGGACTATGACAGCACCTCGGGGTTTGTGTACTGGACAGATGACGAAGTACAGACCATACAGAGAGCTCAGCTGGACGGGTCAGGTGAGTAACTTGTGCCGGCTTATCATTTGAACACCTGCGGGACTGACCTTGCTCTTGACTTTCAGTTCCCCAGGACTGGTGCTGCTGCCTGCTTTCTGACTAAATGAGATATGTAATATTCTAATATAAATAATTCAGCACCTTGTAAAGTTATAGTCATGAAGCTTCACAAAACTGTTTTGAATGTGTTTTCCTATTCCACAACATACTTTAAAAAAAAAAAAAATTTTGGTTGGAGTCATGTAGCTGTAATCAATTATGTAATTGTAAGCTTTTGTCAGCAGTCAGGAATCTGAGAAGAGATAGCATACAATACACCAAAAACCAGTCCCACTTGTTATAATTTGTTTATTGATAAAGTCTCATGTTATAACTTTGAGCGTCCCATTTTTGGGTTTGAAAAAGTTGGCAAGCCCGAATCGGTTACCCTACACCCAATCAATATATGAGACTTTTAAGTTACTTACAGTGCTTGCACAAATAATGTCTGTTGATGTGTTACTGCACATCAGATTTATATTCTCGGATAAGTTGTGCAAAGAAGGAAATCGCTAGCAAAATTACTGATAGTCTGGCAAGCAACTTTGACCTAAGTATCATTAAGATTTTTGGTTCTTTCATGCTGAGTTCAATTTTCATATAATTTTTTTAGCAGCAGATAAACCACAATCAACATTTTTATTACAAAAACTATTAATTTTGCAGTTTCCTTCTTTGCCTATAGGACATTAATTTAACTTAACTTTTATTATTCTTTCTCTGTCATGTTATAGTATGAATGCAGATTTATAGGCCTTTTTTTTAAGCGTACCCTGAATTTTTCAGCTCAGTTAATCCACTTTCATCAATCGGTGAATGCATGGATTTTCCTTTAACTCTTTCTTTAAGCCCTGAGTTTTTTCATCCGTTTCCCTGAGTTTTTTTCTACAGTCTCCTAAACCTAGTGCACTATGTCTCATTATAACCCCAAAAGTTTGCCTCCAACTTCTAAGTAGCAGAAACAAAGGCTTAGTCATTACTAAAAAACTTGGTTCAGGAATAGTTCTGAAAAACAAGCAAAAACGAGTACTAAATAAAACGAAACAGTTGTCACTAGTACTGGATGCTCCCAGCGTCCGATGAGGTTCAAAGAGTTAAGCATACTGATTTTACCAAGCAAATGCCAGGGTCAGTAAGTAGGACAGGCTCTTTGACTGGAGCATTTGCACAATTTTAACGAAGAAATTTATCCCAGTAAGGCAGTATGGGAATGTCCTTACGATCTTTTACTTGTGTATGTTGCAGAGCAAGAGACTCTGGTGGACACGGAGGTGGATGATCCTAATGGCATTGCCATCGACTGGATTGCTCAGAATCTCTACTGGACTGACACAGGCACCGACAGGATCGAAGTTTCTCGACTAAACGGAAGCTCTCGGAAAGTTCTCATATCTGATGGGCTGGATCAGCCACGAGCCATTTGTCTTGATCCAGAGGCTGGGTGAGGAGTTGTTCCTTTTTCTGAATCAGATTTTAACTTAGACCTCTTCCTCTTTAGTCATATTAACTTTAACACTTTGCACACTTTTGTCGGTAGGAATAGTACATGAATAGATGGGTTGTCTCTCGCTCTCTCTCTCCCCTCCTCCCCCCCTCCCTCCCTCCCCCCCTCTCTCTCTCTCTCTCTCTCTCTCTCTCTCTCTCTCTCTCTCTCTCTCTCTCTCTCTCTCTCTCTCTCTCTCTCTCTCTCTCTCTCTCTCTCTCTCTCTCTCTCTCTCTCTCTCTCTCAAAAAGAATGATTTCATTTAAACAGTGATTGTGTGGACAATTTCAGGTACATGTACTGGACGGACTGGGGCAAGAAACCACGAATTGAAAAGGCCTACCTGGATGGGACCAATCGTATAGCAGTGGTCAGCACAAACCTGGGCTGGCCTAATGGTTTGGCCATTGATCTGGAAGAGCGCAAGTTGTACTGGGGTGATGCCAGGAAAGACTGTATAGAAGTGTCGGACCTCGATGGACGGAACAGACGGAAACTTGTCACTGAAAGACTTCCGCATATTTTTGGATTTAGTCTCCTCGGTAAGCAGTTGATGTGGTCGTTTATTGTTTCAGAAGCTATCTGGATCCCTTGGCAATGACAGTATATATTCATTTCTGAAAGAGGCCTTTGCCTTTGTTGGCAAGAGTTTTTACCAGATGAACCTTGTGGTGGCAAAGTGCTAAAGAGACGCTAGATAACGCAGCTGAATGTTTCATGTAACGTTTCATACCCACGTCATGATTTTGACCTGTGTGGTCGTCAGCCAATGCATACCTAATGTCTCATAATGAAAGATGTAATATCTGATTGTGTGTGTGTGGGTGGGTAGGTGTGTGTGTGTGTGTGTGTGTGTGGAATAGAAGCTTTTAAACTCATCTATTTGTGCTTCAAAGGTGCTTTGGTGTGGTTTTTCCTTCTTTCCCATCAAACATCTACCATCATATCTCTCCTCCTTTTTCGTGCTTGTTACTCCCTTGTAACACTTCTAATCTTCTTCACTTATATATATGACCTAATTGTGTTGCAAGTGTCGTAAAACTCTTACTTAAATACAACTTTTGTACTCAGGCTGCTTGACAGTGATAGGGTTTGTTTTTAGACAATGAAATAAAAACTAATGATGAATGTTGTATTTTACCTCAGGTGATTACATATACTGGACAGAATGGCAAGACCGCACTATTGAACGTGTAAACAAACACACTGGATTGAACCGCACGAAAATCATTGCACAACTGCCAGATCTAATGGGTTTAAAAGCAGCCGATGTGAATCGAGTTACTGGTAAGTGTTGATGTTCGTTACTATTTCTGTTGAGCTATTTCATTTGTCCTTTAAATAATAATGTATTTTTTACCATACTGCCGTTGGCTGACGATTCGCGTTGCCGCTTCACCTCAGACACAGATCTCCATCGTCCGCTAGACACCTTAATGAACTAAATACAGGCTTTCAAGAGACTTGTACTTGTTGCCTTCTTCCTTCTCCAAATAACTTTTTCAAATAGCTCCATCTTTCAGCTAGTATGTTATATTCGTTCCCCTCCCAGAAGACCCTGAAAGGCAAAGTCAATGCTGCCTGCCTTCCAATTGATCTAACTGATGCTAAAAGGGGGGTCAAGCATTTGCTCAGCAATTTGTCTTTCTGTCTATTTTATCCAGTGCTGAGAGATTTCATGGTACTTACATGACCTAACTCTGCTTATAGCTCTGTGAAACGAAATCACCGACTTGTTTCTCTTTCCTTCTGTCTGACCTGGCTGTAAACACAACCTTAACAATGACCACCATTCTGTGTCAATGGCTTCCACCCAAACTCCTGTTCAGGTGGTTGGAGGGTGCCACTGGTAAATCTTACTTCTTTTCTGTCCCTCTGTTTTGTCTATCTGTCTTGCTTCCTCCCTGCACTAAACGACCGTTATTGTGTCTATGTGCTTCTCTTTACTCAAGAACCCTAACTCCACCCCCCCCCTTCTTGGTGTTTTTTTTCTTCTCTAAGTGTTTCCTTCTCTCTCAACCAGGGACCAACACTTGTGGCGAGAATAACGGCAACTGTAGCCACCTTTGCTTGTTCCGGCCGTCGCCGAAGAAGCACGTCTGTGCCTGCCCCATGGGGCTGGAGCTGCGAGCTGACGGCCAGACCTGCATTGTGCCGGAGGCCTTCCTCCTCTTCTCCAGTCGCTCGGACATCCGGCGGATCTCTCTGGAGACCAACCAGAACAACCAGGCCATTCCAATCCAAGGCGTCCAGAAAGCCATGGCCATTGACTTTGACATCACAGACAACAGGATTTACTGGACCGATGTGGAGCTGCAGGTATGTGATGCTCTCCCACTTTAACTCTAATCTGCCAAAATTAATTTCATTGATTTTCCTGACCAACCAGGATGAAATGTGTACTGTCATTCAGAATTGGCATAAGTTTTTGCATTACAGACAACTTTGGATCTAGACCTACCTCATTCAACATGCCAAAAAAATTTGTCATTGGCATTATTAAAGAAGCAAATAATGAGATTGAATGCAGCAAAAGCAAGTATATTGTAGAAGGATTTGATTCTAAAATGTTTATTTGTTAAATTAAGTGACTTGGATTTTAGATAAAAAGTTGTTGGGGATTTACATATTTTCCTAGAGAAAATGCACCTTCAAACATTGAATTCTCTCAAAGAAAGGAAGTATCATCAGTCTATTTTTAACATAACCAATAATAGAAACATGGATTTGGAGGACTGGACAAAAATGTGTATTTGATGAGGGGAGGTGAAAACGACACGCTGTGTTTCATTCTGGCGGGAGGGAGGAAACAAAAATGACACAGCATCGTTCTGGCTAGTGGGAGTTCTTCAGTTCTCAATTTATTTCAGTACTCTCCTGAAATTATATATTTTAGAAATTATTTATAGAAGTCTTAGCATGCGATTTTTAATCCTTTTTATCTTTCTCTTTCTCCTTGTCCTTGATTATCTTTCTCCGTTGTCTTGTCCTATGTATCTTTCTCTGTTACCTTTTACTATCTATCTGTATGTCTTACTCTTTCCCTGCACTAAATGACTATTATTGTTTCAGTTCAATGTGCTTCTCTGTACTGGAGCAAACAAACGTGGTTGGTTGGCGGGTGCTCTGGTGTGGTTTGCTTCTTCTTTCCTTTCAAACATCTATCATCTTTATCTCCCCTCTTTCTTTTTTGTGTTTGTTACTCTCTTGTAACACTTCTAATCTTCGGCACTTATATGACCTTATTGTGTTGCAAGTGCCGTAAAACTCTTACTAAAACTTTTTTAAAAAACAACAGACGCAGTATTCTAACTAAATTTTAATAACCTGGCCCTCTTCCCTTTCTCAGCACATCAGTCGAGCTTTCATGAACGGCAGCTCCCTACAGCACATCATTCAGTTCGGTCTGGACTACCCGGAGGGTATGGCCGTGGACTGGGTGGCACATAACATCTACTGGGCCGACACGGGCAAGAACAGGATTGAGGTGGCCCGCCTGGACGGGTCCTCGCGGAAAGTCTTGGTCTGGAGGAACCTGGAGGAGCCGAGAGCTCTTGCGTTAGACCCTCCTAATGGGTGAGTGACAGATGCCTTTTGTTTATGTAGAATTATTTTATTCAAAACAAACCAAACAAATTTATATGGGTTTTTGTTTGTTTGTTTGTTTGTTTTTGTTTGTTACTTTTTTTTGGGGGGGGGGGGGGGAAACAAAACTTGTTTTTTTTTTTTTTTTTTTTTTTTTTTGTGGGGGGGGGGGGGGGGGGATACACAACTGATTTTTTCTTTTTGTTCCATTGTTGTCTGTCTTGACCATTTTCTGAACACAGCCACCTGCTGTCAAGTTTGCTTCATTAACTACTTTTTCCTGGACCAATAAGGTGAATGAGTCCTTACTTGCTTTTTCCCCTCAATGACGATTATCGTGTTGGTTTGTTTCACTTTCAGTGAACAAATCTTAATTGTGTTGGTAGTTACTGGATGAGTGCTGTCGAGTGGTCTCCCCCATCTTCTGCTTTTCAGTCAAGTCTCAATCTGTTTTTAGTGCACCGGGGACGCTGTCCTCCTGATTGACAGGCTAGAAATGCTGATGTAACAGAGACCATCTCACTATTTCATTGTTGTTGGTTGGATGGTGCTGCTGATAGGTTCTAGTGTTGTTCTTTCTTTCTGTTGTTTTTATTTGCCTGTCTTGCTTCTTGTAATGAAGGCCATCTCACTACTTCGATGCTTGTAGCAAAATTATACACATGTCTTTGTAGCACCGACGTAGAACCATGGTTGAAGCTGAGCAGTGCCTTGCTCCAGTCTGTGACTACTCAGCAGTTTCGTTTGTCTGTTTTTATTGTGCGCGTCTCCGCACCTGTATTAAGTATTTATAAATTATTTTGTGCTTATTGAAGCACCTGTGTAGTGGATCCTGAAAGTTTTATTGTTTGTTAGAGCTCCTGTTTCTCAAGTCGTTTTTAATATCGTGCTCTCTGCCCAGTTGCCACGTTTCGAGTTTTTTCGGTTCCAGTCCTCCTGTGAAGTCCACAAACCCATGATATTAAGATTAATGAACAAGACAATTTGAACTTTAAACCCAGTGATATCAAGATTAATGAACAAGACAATTTGAACTGTAAACCCAGTGACCTCCAAAGTAATGAACAATACAATGAATCCTGACCTGTGCTAGAACTATCATTAAAGAAGATCTACTTCGCCATTCTACTGGTGGAATCTACTGTGTGTGTGTGTCACAGCCCAGAAACATTGCAGAGTGCACACCAATTTTCCTTTTGTTTAATGAAAAGCAGTGTCAGGGTAAGGGTACCCTACCAGTTACTAGGCCTACAACATGTTACATTTACTATAGTTTGCTTCTCGACACAGGCGATCACCGTCTTAGATAACGTATGCTACCAGTCTGTGGGAGAGCCACTGGAAAAAAACAAGAAAATAACAAACTGAATGGTATAAAACCCAAGCTGGAACAGCGAAATCCTTCGACCTCTCCAGAAGAGACGAAGTCATTTTCACTCGATTGCGCATCGGACACACGGCCCTGACCCACAAATACCTCCTACAGGGAGATGAGAAGCCGTTCTGTGTCGCATGCGACACAGATTTTACCATTAGACACATCTTAACCGAATGTCTAGACTTTGGAGAGATCCGAAGGAAATATTATAAATGCAAGAAATTGCAAGACTTTTTTTTCGTCGTTGGTCCCAACAGAATTTTGAATTTTATGAAGGCCATTGGCCTTTATGGCAAATTATAAAGTGATATCGTACTATTTAAAAAATTTTTTTATTGTTATTTATAAGAGTTGTTTTAAATTGAAAATATATTTACACCGACCTGTGAACTGTTGCGAATGTAAACAACTTGTGTTTCGCGCGCTCATATCACCTTATGCAGTTGCGAGCACCGTAAAACCCTATACTACTACTACATACGTATGCTATATAATCTGTAATCAAGTGTGTCTGCATTTATTTCTTGTCCAGCTATGTAATAGCTGAAAGTTAACGCCTATACTCAGTCCTATTCTTCCTTGCACAGCCTTTCTTTTTCTATTAGTTAGAGCCTACACCCCAGGAGTCCCAATAAAGCTCTTAGTTTTTAATTAAAACTGTACATTCTATTTATTTATTTGGTACCTTGGTAGACTTGTAAGACTTGTGCTCATATTTGTCTACCCTAAGGTTACAAACTAGTAATTCAAACAACGGTTTGAACAGCTACTTTGTGACAATGTAGTTGGTTGGATTGTACCCCTGGTAGGTTCTACTGCTTTTCTTGTTCTCTTTTGTTTCTGTTTGTCTGTCCATCTTGCTTTTTGCCAAAATTAAATGACTGTCATTGTGTCGATGTTCTTTTATGTACTAAAAAACTAAGCTCAATTTGTTTTTAAAAAACTGTTTTAATGGTTGGTTTGGTGATGCTGTTTCAGGTTCATGTACTGGACGGTGTGGGGAGATGAGCCGGTGTTGGAGAGAGCCCACCTGGACGGGACGCACCGTAAGGTCCTCATCTCCAAAATCGGACACGTCCAGGATCTGACCATTGACTACGTGGACCGACGCCTCTACTGGACGGACGTCAGCGACCACAGCATAAAGTCCTCGGACATGAATGGCAAGTGATAGATGTGTGATCCTGGCGATCATGGTAGCCCTCAGGGTTTTTTTGGTTGGTTGGGTTTTTTTTGTGTGGTTTTATTTCTGTGGGTTATTTTTAATGCCCTTCAGCAGACAGTTGGTGCGATCCTTCTTGTCAATGGTTTGATAGTGTAGTCTCTGATCTGTTCCCATGAATACTTTGTTAAATTTAAACAAACACTAATTAGATCTAAGAATTTCTAGTTGGCGGGTGTTCTGATGTGGTTTGCTCCTTCTTTCCTTTCAAGTATCTATTTTGTTTAGCTCTCTTCCTTTCTTTTCGTTTGTTACTCTCTTGTAACGCCTCTAATCTTCGGCACCTATATGATGTAATTGTGTTACAAATGCTGTAAAACTTAATAAAACGTAGTGGTTGATTAGCATATGCTCTCTTGTTGTTTGCTCCTTCTTGCCTATCAAACATCTGTCATCTTGAGCTTTCCTCCTATTATTCATATGTTACTATCTAGTAACACCTCTTCAGCACTTACCTGACCTAATTGTTTTAAGTGCGGTAAAACTCTTACTTTAAAAAAAGCAGACCATCTCCTAATTGATCTATATTGTGTTGATTGGGGTTCAAACATTTTCCAATCAATCGATCAATCAGGTGGTGACCAGAGGCTGGTGGTACAGTCCCAGATCCGGCAGCCATTGGGCCTAAGCCAGTACCAGGACTTTGTCTACTGGACAGATTTCAAACGCAAGACCATCGAGAGGGCCAACAAAACAGATGGTCTGAACCGCACCATGATCCAGGGGGAGGTGGACCTGGTCATGGACATTCTGGTCTTCCACACCTCACGGCAATCTGGTGAGATGTTTGTTGTTGTTGCTGTTCTTGTTGTCGTTGTTGTGTTTTTACCATAGACAGCGAAAGATTTTGTCAGTTTGTTAGTGTTTTAGCGCCTATAAATGGCTGCTTGCACTGTATGCTTCCCAGGAAGTTGAGATTGTTTCAGAATGCTCTCCGGTCTGCTGGGGTAATAGTATAGATTGTGAAGCGCATAGAGCTTGCTGTTGGGGGGGTGGGGTGGGGGGGGGGATTTGCGCTATACAAATGCTATCTATTATTATTATTATGTTGTTTAAGGTGATGATATTTAGCGTTATGGTAGCCTCTTCATAGTAGATAGGTCTTTCTTCCTCACTTACTGTCTGTTGTTGGTTTTTTGTGGGGTTAAAAAAAAAATTTCATGAAGAATTTTTTTTTCTGATTTTCGTTTCTTTTACAGGAAGCAATGCGTGTGGCCGGAACAACGGAGGCTGCTCTCACCTTTGCCTGGCCCACCCTGCGGAGAACTCAAAGAATACAAGCCACTACTGTGCCTGCCCGACGCACTACACGCTAAATGATGATCAGCTCACCTGCTCTGGTAAGTGTTTCAAAGAGAAAGAAAAAGTTTCTTAAAGCCCATGGCAAGAACAGAGTAGTTTATTTTGTTTTGTTGGGTTTTTGGGGGGGGGAGTCTGGGAGGGGGTTTGCTTGTGTAGCAATAAGTCATTAAATATGTCGCTGTATTCTTGCCAATTTCATGTGGTGTTTATCATTTAAATTTTGTGACAGACCTTAAGGTGTTTAGCCCTTACCTCATTTTTTTTTTGGTTAAGTCAGAAACCTAGACCCTCTTCCCCCAGATCTGCAGGTTCGCTTGTCATTTGGTACCAACGGCACAGCACACCAGCTGAACTGATGTGCTATATGTAAAGAGATGTGTTGTTAGTTGTGTTATCCTGTCTCGTTTTCCCTTTCAGCCCCTGAGCAGTACCTGCTGTTGAGCACCAGAAACGCCACCATACGTCTGGTCATCCAGTCAGACAACGCGGTGGACAACCCCGAGGTGGTGCTGCCCATCAACGGCATGAAGAACATCCGGGCCCTGGCCTACGACCCCGTGGGAGAGTTCATCTACTGGATCGAGGGGCGTCAGAAGACCATCAAGAGGGCCCACGACAACGGGACAATGGTGAGCTTGAACGTCATCGGCTATTGTTTGTTCGCAGATGCACTGGCTGCTGTTTTCTTTTTCAATGATGAGCTGGGTCTATTTATAGTCACCAACTATGTATGTTTAGGTGCTGTTTTAGTCAATAGTTAGCATTACCGTAAGTGCATATTGTTATAGAGTCACCAGCTGTCAATGTTTAGGTGCTGTTAGAGAAAATAATGAGCTTCATCTTCTCTTATTTACTTATATAGAGGCTCCAGCTGCCTATTTTGAAGTGCTATTTTAGACAATATCCATATTACTTTCCCGAGCTTTAAATGACCATTATTGTGTTGATGTACTTTTCTTTACTCAAACAAACAAATCTTTGTCCAGACGAGTGTTGTGGTGAATGAGCCGAAGAACGTGTTCCAGCCGTTTGACATAGCAGTGGACCCGTACGCAAGAACGCTGTACTGGACCTGCACCTCCAACAACGTCATCAATGTCACCCGCATCGACGCTTTCCGCTCTCCCATCGGGGTCATTATGCAGTCCAGCGGTGGTTTCAAACCTAGGTCCCTGGTGCTGTATCCAGAGAAAGGGTAAGCTTCCCCCTTTTTGTATTTTTTTTAATTGTGGGTTCTATTGGTAGCCTTTTCTGTTTAGAATGTTTTACCCTCTTGTACCCTTCCTTATTAAACCTCAGGTCAGCCATGGAAGGGTGGGCGAGGTTTAGCATACAGTAGAAATTTAATAATGTGTTAACGGTTGAAGTATGCGTCTAACAAACTGCAGCATTGTGTATCCCCTTAAAAATGAACTGGCCTTCCTCACCTGTTACTGTTTGGTAGTGTGAGCCTTCCATTAAAGGGTATATTTTAACAATAATCAAATTCATCTTTTTGTAGAGTCTATTTTCACAGGTACTTGGTTATGGGTTTGCTACATAAGCTCATCTGTTGCAAGTGGAATTTTTTTTTTTACTACAGATTTAAGTTGGGCTGCTCTGTCTATTTCTTTCTAGTGTTTATGGTGTTATCAGATTCTGTTCTGGTCCTAAGAACAAGTAAATGGTTATCATACCTACTGAATGCACCTCCAAATATGCTATGATTGTGGTGATGGTATGGTAAAAAGTTTAGAAAGTCAACTGCTCAGTGCCCAGTGTCCTGCTGTTTTATGTGACCTTTGTGTCTTTTGTCTTGTGTGCGGGAGATCTTTCTTCTTTTAGTTGCTTTTAAATGAAGTGAAAGATGATGTTGTAGGAATGACCTCTTTATGATGGTTTTTCAGGGAAATGTGCCATTTTATTCATTTTAGTTAGTTATGGCCAGCACTGTGGCGTAATAGTTATGGTTTTGACCTTGCAACCCACAAACATAAGTTCAATTCCCTTGCGGGAGTGTCTGCATTGATGTGTCCCACCCAGACCAACTTACCGCCTGCCTCAAAAATGATGTAAATAGTGATGATGGGTGTGTTAACCATTTTCTGTCATATAAAAGGTAGGATTACAGGTGAGTAAAAGGTGCCACTTCTTTTTTTTTCCCTCGGTTGTTTCAGTCTATCTTACTGTTTTCTTACAATTTCTCTGCACTTTATTGCTTCAGTATGCTACATTTTCCTCAAAGTCAAGTGTTATAGAAATTACATTTTCTGTCGGATGCATGTTTTCAGGAAAATGTTCTTCACCAACATGGTGAGCTCTCCACGCATTGAGATGGCTCTGATGGATGGCTCAGAGGCAATCACACTCTTCAAGAACGTCCTGGTTCACCCCCAATCCTTGACCATTGACAAGAAGGAGAACAGGCTGTATTGGGCAGACTCCCGGCTCAACCGAATTGAGTTATCTGATTTGACAGGAGGCAACAGGCGTATCTTGGTGGATGGACAGGTCAGCTTCGTTGTCACAGTTTTTGCATCTTTCAACACACCCCCCACCCCACCCCATTTTGGCCTTCATTATTTTAAAATGCCAAGTGTTGTCAATGATTTGAAAAAAATATATTTGCCACAATGTAGATAGTTAAGAATTTTCTTTCTCTTGTCAAATAGAGACACATGAAGAGAAAACAATGGGATGGTCTCAAGTAATATGGCTACTCTGTCTATTTTGGTCGTTTGTTAGTTCTGTTAGTTGTGCTTTTTTTTTTTTTCACTGGCAATGAAATAAACATCGAGTTTGTGTTAATTTGCTTCACTTTGAATAGAACTTGAAAAATTAAGGGGAAAAAAAAAACAAGTGGATTTTTTTTCTTCCTCCCCTCCATCTACTTTGCTTTTTCCTTGCACAAAATGGCGGTTATTTTGATCATGTGCTTCTTCCTCAAAACAAACTGAAGTAACCTGAGCATTTTAATTTTTCTTCCAGGTGGACAACCCTCGTGGTTTGGCTGTATATGGAAAGTTCCTGTACTGGCTGGCCAGGGAGCAGAACAATGTGGAGCGGATCCACAAGAAGACTGGCAACAAGCGTTTCTGGGTGCGGGGTCGAATCCAAGGCCTGAGCGACATGATCGCGGTAGAGCACTCGATGTCAGCCTCGTGGCACCCGTGCTTCCGCAACAACAGCGGCTGCTCCCATCTGTGCTTCATAACGGAGGACCACAAACCCCGTTGCTCCTGCCCCATCCACCTGGTGCTGAAGAGTGACCGTCAGACCTGCTCGGAGCCGCCCACTTGTGCTTCAGACCAGTTCAAGTGCACCAGTGGGGGCGTCCAGTGCATCCCCCTAGTGTGGAAGTGCGACTATTCCCCCGAGTGCGAGGACAGCTCGGACGAGGAGAACTGTCTGGAGTGCAGGGGAGACCAGTTCAAATGTTCGGATGAGAAGTGTGTGGATGCGGCACACCGATGTGATGGGCAGGACGACTGTGGGGACGGCTCTGACGAGAGGAATTGCTGTGAGGAGGGTGGGGAGAACTGCAAGTGTGCCGACTGCGCAGGTCAGCCGGACTGCACTGACACCAACGGGAAACTTTGCCCAGAGAAGGGGAGCCCGGATAGGAACAAGTCATCGAAGAACTACACCATCGCCATTGTGATTGTGGTGGTTGTGTTTGTTGTGGTGGTCATCATATTGATTCTGGTGTGTCGCCACAAGACTAGTGGGGCGCCGGTGGACGACGACATCGTCATGGTGAAGAAACCCTTGAACCCACCAGCTGCTGCTCTAGCCGAGGGCTCAAGCCCTCATAACACTCTGATCCGTGGCAAGTCGCAGGCAACTGGCTTGTCCATGGGCTCTGGTTCAGGTCCGCCATTCTACGACCGAAACCATGTGACGGGGGCGTCGTCCAGCAGCTCCACAGTGACCCAGTACCCCCAGGAGACTCTGAACCCCCCGCCCTCCCCGGTCACTGACCGCTCTGTATACACTGCACCCACTGGCGGGATCTACGTCTCCGTCAACAGCCTGGCCTCCTCCGTGCAGCGGTCCGGGGTGGGCAGCGCGGGGGGTGGGGTGGGCGGTGGTGGGGGTAGCAGCAGCCGCAGGCGGAACCACCACCGCCGACACCATCACCATCACCACCACCACCACATTCCTCCCCCGCCCACCACCCCCTGCTCCACAGATGTGTGCGAGGACAGCGAGCCCTACCACCCACACAGCACGCCCCTCCACTCCTCCACACCCGCCAACAAGTACCGGGCTCGGTCCTCCCGCTCCCGGTCCGCCCGGTCCAATGCCAAAAAATTTAAGTACTATTTCAATAACTCTGTGGTAGAGCTGAACTATGATTCAGACCCTTACCCACCGCCGCCTACACCCCGCAGTCATTACTTCTCGGATGAGATCAGCTGCCCTCCATCACCGTCGACAGAGAGGAGCTATTTCAATCCATACCCCCCGCCCCCTTCCCCTGTTGCTACCTCAGACTGCTGATCTATAGATAAGGAGAGTCCATTTACATGTGACTGAAGACCCACCTCAGTGCATACGCCAAAGATTGGTCAGGTCTTGCCCCCCACCCCCTAGCCACTCAATGCTCTACATTGTACCATTTTTGCTGTGGTTTTTTTTTTTTTATTGCCAGAACTTTCTACTGTTGTTTCTGTAGGAATATTTTAAATGATTATGTGTCTGATACACACTTTTCAGTAAACTGGGATACACTGGATGAGAGAGAATGCTTTTCCGGACTTTCTGGTCCCTTGAACAGCATGCAGTCATGCCAGTACAGATATTAGGGCATTTAGTCAAATGAGCACTGTATGGAAATCGGGGCATTTCTGATATTTATATTATTGTCAGTTGTATTTTGTTGTTGCTTTTTTGTAAAATGGATATTTTTTACAGTCTAGAATTCCTGTCCCTAAGAACAAGATATTGGTCAGAAAATAAACTACATGCTTAATCTGAAGACAGCAGTAAACCGAATGGTACGGAGGACATTTCTACCATTGCAACAAACATCCATGGCTGGTACCTTGGAGGAGAAGTCAGATGTTGTTAGAGAGGGGTTTTTTCATTCAAAAGCCTGTGTCAGTTTGGCATGAAACTCCAATTCCACAAGCTCTTCTCGTTACCTTTCAACAAAGGGGTTGGCATGTAAGATTTTATAGAGAGTATTACATAAAAGTTTGTCAGATAAAATATTTTAAAAATTGTGGTCCAGGTGCTATTATTAGCACAGAATTGTATGTACCAGTTAACCCAAGACTCTGAGAACCTGATATTAAAACTTTATACAGATTTTGTCTTGTTTTGATAAGCTCTTTTTATACATGTATATTTTTTACTTAGTGGTCTCTCATGCCACTTTCTGCTGAATGAAATGGAATTCTTTGTGGCTGAAGTTTTATACATTTCTGTCCGGCCCTTTGACAGGATAGGTGTGAAATTTAGCTTTTTTCTGGTGTGAAAATTCAGTGATGTTTAAAAGTTGTTCATCAAAATCCAGGGCCGGGGGGATTTTGGGGGATATCTTTTCTCCTAATTTGATCAGGGTCAACTTTGCAGCATGTTTTTGTAGTGTCTGTTCCTTGTGGATAGGAAGAGGATCTGGTCATCTTATCTCTGCTTATCATCAAACACTTTGTTGGAATGATTTCAAAGTGTTCTGTATTTTTTAACCGTAGTGCATTTATCTCATTTTTGTAATGGACATGGTATGTACTTTCATTTTAAAAAAGGTCAAAATGGTTTGAGAAAGCTTTAATATGGATGACTTGTGTGATTGTGTACCTTACAATATGTTTTCTGTTTCATTTGAGTTTTAAGTATGATTTGTTTGAGAGCCAAGAAAGTTGAGGCTTTGTAAATGTGTACAAATGTTACAGTATTGTTATGATGACTTCAGTTATTGAAGTAGGTTCCCACCGTCTGTCCGCTCTAACCAGGCAGGGACTGCAGTTTGTGTTATATATGTCTTTGGCAATCTATAGAGGTTCAGGTAGAGATAAAGTCTGTTTTTGTCCAAGGAGCCATTCTGTTCTGGTCTTCACATGATGGCATGATATGTAAGATTGTTGGGTGAAAAGATTTTCGGAACAATTCAAGCTTCCTAAGACTCTTAGGGAAAATTAAAAGGGCCTAATTTTATGAAGTTTTGTTTTCATCGTCGTCCCACCCTCACCCTTTTTTTTTGTCCACACTAAATGGCAAGTAATACGAAATCAAATTTTTACTTCTTGATAAATGTTATTAGAGAAGAAATGCCTGTTGTTAAGAATTACATTGTCAGTTTTGTCTTGTTAGCATCAGTATCAACTTGTTAAGGAATGTCAAATCTTGTCAAAGAGATTTTCTGACTGAATCTTCATTTCTCCTTCCTCTTCTCATTTGGCAATTGTATCAGTATTTCATTATTTTTGCTGTTCAAAAGATTGTCTTTTTTTGTAACCTTAACCCTTCCAGCCCCATGCGCATATCTTTTCAGCAGAGCTTGTACCTCCGACCGTCCCAAGAGCGTTTATTCTCAGTTCCGGGGGGTATCAAATTTGCACAGTTTTCAAAATTAGGGCACCTAATTAAACTTTAATTTTCATAATATTTGTTTATTTACTTTTAACCCCTTCGTTGCTGTTATGTCATGAAAATGCATAATTTTTAGCGCTGTGTCATACCATGTATGTCATGGAAGTTGGCAACATTTGCTGCTCCTGGTTGCTTATATGACATTACATGTAGGCCTACATCACACTAATCATCTGACTCTAATTCTTCTGTACAGAGTTTTAGTCACAAGCGCTGCGTAGATTCGTATTTGGGAATAAAAGATGCATGTATTGGTACCAAATTTGCTAGTATTACTTTACTGCTGGGTTTGCAAGTGATCGATAATCACAGATCTAGGCTTGCGGGCGACCACGTGCTTTCGTAAAACAGAAACATCGAAATGACTTTAAAAAGCACAATAAATTGATCTTTTTACTTAAATTTGCTGGTTATTCAAAATTATGAGTAAGATGGGAGGAAATGGGGAATAAGAACAGTGAGAAAAGTGACAGACGAAGACCAGGTGTCCGAAATATGTCATGAGTGATCTAGAGATCTAGACCGCGTGTCTATTAACACTGAGACATTAGGCTTCTGTCCTGGGAAACAAGCTCAGTTGAAAATCGGTGCTGACGGTAGGTATACATACCCCTTGGCAACAAAAATATTAAACATTGTTGTATATTATTATCTTAACCTCATTACAAAGATACTACATCACTTTTTTAAAATGCATGCCTCTTTCTCTGAAATACTGCTGTATTTTTCTGGGACTGGGGTAAGGGAGTGCAGAAAAATGGCTCCGGCTGGAAGGGTTAAATGTGGTAGAAGTTAATTTAAGTCTTGCCTTAAGTGTGTATATGGGATGGGGGAGACCGTAGTTTGGTTTGGCTCCATAGCTGAAGTACATTTATACACAAAGTGTTGCCGTCACCGTTGTCTACCATTGTTTTTTCACCACATACATGGACAAAAAGCTATGTAAGATCACTAATTCTATGTTGTCTGCAGGACGTTCAGTGGTTGGCGGCAAAGGTTTTCAGGTTGATTATATTTGTATACATGTTGTACAAAATTTTTTAAGTCTGCTGATATGAGATCTGCTACTGCTACCATCACTATGAATTTATTTTCTTTCCGTTGATCTGTTTTTAGTTTTTGTTTTGCTCTGGAGCTGTTCCCTTCGTATGGCTGTTCTGTTGTGGTAGACCCTAGTCTACCGACTCTTTTTTTCTATTGTTGATTTTGTTAACTCATTTATTTGAATGTATAGATCTGTTGATTTATTTATGTTGGATATTTTCTTTGAATCTATGTACTTGTTTCTTAAAAAATTTTGAAAGGGAGCTGAGTGATTTTAATAAATATATCTATGTGATTGGCAAAGGAAAAATTAAGTGATATGAAATATTAATGTTGAAGGAATAAAGTGATAGTTTTTACTGGTCCTAAAATCTCAGACTGTGTAACATTTCATCGCTTGGTGTTAAGTGCTTGGACTGATTTGGTGATCAAAGAGATTTACAAGAAGTCAGCAGTGTTCGTCATAGTCTTGACTTCCATTTGAGATGAAAATGCGATAAATTTGAACTAGTCTTTTAACTTTGGGGGGGTGGGGGGGGTATTTTTTTTATAGCAAATGAGGCTCCAGCAATCTAGGGAAATCATTCTTAAATAATTAAGATGGTTTACAGTAAACATTTTTAAAAATATAATTAGCCATCACAGTTAATTGATGATCTTAAAGACTGGCATTTTGCCAAGTAACACTTTAAGATTGTTTCTAACCTTGCATGGAACATCTGAAAAAGGAAGTGTGGAGAGAGTATTTTTATGAAATAGATACATAATGTTGAAGTTGGGTAATTGAAAGCAATTTGTTAAAAAGTAGGACAAGTAAATCATGTTGTAACTTGATTAAGATACAATGTCTGGAATGTCAGCCTCCCTTTGTATAGAGCCAGTATAGCCAGTGAACCAGATGATTCATCCTGTATAAGGAAGATGTCCTAATAATGCCTACCTCACAATAACATATATATCTTGTCCAGGTCCCCGAGTCACCAAAGTAAAGGGGGTTATGTTTTGTTTTTAGTTAGAAAGGTTTAAGAAAATGCCAAAGAAGTACCGGTAGGAGCAAAGATTGCTCTTGAAGAATCTTTGTGTGACAACTGCCAGGAGCGACTCTTCTTATTTTGTGCGTGGGATGCTTTGTTTAATGAGACTTATCTCATAGTCTTTTCTAACACCTACCTTGCAACAGTGATGCTAGTTTTGTCGGAGTGACTTGTGGAAAATAATTTGACTCTACCTCGTATAGTTAGAATAACTTTACACAAAAGCTCAGCTCATTTCCGTGTTGTTGGAAATTAGTGGGTTGGGACATTGTTTCCTGCAACAGATTTGAGAGTATAATGAGGGTGGACTGTATTGTAAATGCCTTCTCTTTATCTCTCAGTATACAAAATTGTTTTTTGAATTGTAGGAAAATGGCAATTTAAAACATTATCAAAGTTTTGTGAGTCACTTCCAGTGGTTTAGATTTTTGTTAAGGCCGTGCAAGTGTTCACTTGCAAGCACATGTCTTTTGTTCCGAGTTCTTTTCGAAAAACCTGCCAAAAGCTTTTTTCCCAAATCTCATCGCTTTCAGAGAGTAGTAGTATGTATGCAAGTCTCACCCTGAGGTAGTAATTCCTGGGATTGATTTGTTTGTGACTCGTTTGTTTACAACACATCCGTATGCTTAGGGCTATTGGAATGTTTTTTCGTGTTCCCGGGAGTTTACTTGGGCCTCGCCATGCGCGTTGCACACAGAAGTCTCTCTATGCTTTCTTTGATCCATCACAGAATCACTCATCCTGTTTTACCATTTATGAAGCATGGTTTCTTTTCTTTGAAGTTATATTTGTCATTAGAATGGAAGATTTTTTCCAACATGATGACAAACTATCTGAAAGTGATATACTGCAGTCTGACCCAAGTTATAATTGTACTGGTATGCTGCGGTCATGGGGTCATGTTTTGTTGGAAGTGATCACGTTTTGTATGCCACTTTGCCCTTTTTTTTACATCCCTGTATAGGTCACAGGTTTTTAGAAGTGATTTATATGTGTATGTCTCTGAGTGCGCATGCAATTTTACCTTGCTGAACTGACTAGTATGTTTTGCTTTATGATCATGGAACTACATAAGGGGTATGTGAGGGTCAGTGCCATGTGTTGTATAGATGGCTGCTAGCAGGGCAGGCTCTTTTCTTGCTTTTTCGTCAGGGTGAGATTTTTTTCTTTAAAATTTTTATTTGCAAGATTCAAATTGCAATGTTATGGATGTTATTTCATCTTTACTTTAATGTGAAAAGAAAGGATCCACTGAACAAAGATGACAGGAGAGTTTGGAAAAGCCAACAGTACTAATCTTTGACTGCCTTCTTAAGACCCTTCCTGGGGCCAGGTGTTTTAACTGCACACGTGGACTCCCAAAACATAAATCGTCTCTTACTTGTGGTCACATACAGGTAAATACTATTACTATCCAGATTGCTGGAAAATGCTGCAGAGAATGACATAATTTCCTGGTACTAATTGATCAAGAGAAAATGTTTTGTCAACATTGTTTTGGTCAAAAACGTATTTTGAGCTGTCTCAAAAAAATGAGCAACTCTCAACGTCAATATTCTTTTCGTGTTAAGCAGAGTGAATATGGAGGTACTCTGTTTTCTTGCAACAACAATGATTTATTTCTTGTGAATAGAGTCCATCACACTACACAAGTACTTTGGGAAAAAAAGAAAAAAAGTTTGAATGCAAGGAAGGATTTTGTAAGCTGCAGCGGCATTTGCATCTTGTGTTTTGTCATTCTGAACATAGCTTACAAACAGCATCTTGTTTTTCCTGAACTCTGGAGACCGTCGCCTGTTCCAGTAGTGAAATAAGTTCAGCTTCAGTGTTCATACTATCACAATTCCTAAGTCAGAGCTTTCAATTTTCAGGTATTTAATTTTTTTTAGAAAAACAGTTTGCCTTGTGCATTGCCTGATTCTTGCACTTGCAGGAATGATTCTGAAAAGTCTCCTAATGTTAGGTATTCTATGATGAGTATTTGTGATAGTATTTGCAGATTTGATTGATGCTATTAATAAAAGTAAAAGCAAATTTTCATTGCATAAGAGCGTTGTAGCTACAATGTGAGAAATTTGCTGTGTGGTTGATGCTTGTGTGATTGTGCTCACACGTTTGAATTATGTGTAACTGCTCATTTTGAGGTACCTGATATGTTTGTAGTTGGAACCGGAGAAGAGAGAGAGCCTTTTGACCAAATGCGAGTATGTCACAGTATGTGGATGGGTCAAGGGACTAGTTTATTTGGAAGAGTTGTGTGTTGTTATTGGAGCACAGGTGACCTGTATGATAGTCTATATATCTGTACTTCCAGTTCACCTGATATTGGGTATTCTTACTATGAATTTTTTCAAGTCCTTGACTTCTGCTGTAATATTAATAAATATCTATATAGTTCTGATTTATTGAATAGATTGTTAACTTTAAGTTGCACAGAGTAGTTAATTAAAGTTAAAATCGAGAACAGATGATTTAGGTTTAATAATTTGATTGAAGTGTTTTACTTTATTTGTAGTATTTGTAGCAACGTGGAGCAGTTTTCTAAATTATATCCACTTTCTAAAGCAAGTCTCCTGTGTTCAAGTTCAAGAGGTATAGTGTAGGATTGAGGAAAAATTGAAGTCTGTAAAACAAGGTAATAAAAGCGCGTACATTATGTGCCTTACTTACACCCCCGCAGCAAGAACAATTTTTTAAACTTGTTGATGTTGAATTGGGGGAGGGGTTGCTAGTTGCAAAATGAATTTACCCTACTTTAAGTAAGTGGGTTAGTTGTCTGTCATGCAAAATAAAGACAAGAGCATAAAATGAATGTTTTCTAAACCTTTAACGGTGAACACATACATGTACTTATTTTCATTGAAAGTGGAATGAAAGCGACTGAAAAATGGGTACAAATCCATCGTACTTCAAAGTTAAAGTGATGTGACTTGATAACAAAAATGTAGTCATTTATATTATTATTAGAGTTTGCATGTCTTTTTTCCCATGTGCATGATGATCAATTTGTTGTGGGGAAAATACTAAGAACGTATTCACACTTGAGTGTTTCTTCTTGAGAATGCTCATGTAAACTAAAAAGGTGTGTCATTTTCTCAAAACATGACACCCCCCCTGCACATAGCCAATGTACTTTGACTGTTGCTATGAACTGGAGTTGGAGACAGGAGAGGCTACATTTCCCTGCCCTCGTTCTGCTGTGAGTAGTCTTTTTTTTTAGGCTGCATAAATCATCTATGTACAGTAAGATGATCATGAGTTGAACATGGATCTTCTTTTAGAAAATGTATTTTTTACCTATGCTCCGGTTAGTGTCCTGAAGTTCTATTTTTATGGAAAGATATTTGATATACAAGGATTACAGCAGCTACCTATGAACAACACCAGCAGGAGTCTCTTGTGATAAATTCTCCTGTCAAATTTTCAAATTCATTCTCTTTTGTACTGTAGCAGAGTTATGTGATGCAAGACTGCGTGTGTGATTTACTGTGAAAACATGTGGCCATAAGAAACTTGTTCTGAGTGTGAGCATGGTTTGTTTTTATGAAAGTTTTCCCATATATTTTATAAATCTTTTTTTACTCATGCGATCTGTGACGACTGGCCAATGTTTTGCTGTTCACCATGCAGTTTTTGCTTTGTCCAGTGCAGACATACATGTAATCCATTATTGGCCAAATCCTTTTTGAAACACAGCCTATGTTTTTATTTTTAGTGTTCAATGGGAATCTGTTATATTTTGCTTCAGCTAAATTCGGCTTCTGGTGTCATACTCTTCACCACGCACAGACAAGATGTCAATTCAATTCTCGCATGGGAAAGATTTTATGGAGTCTTTTTTCTGCCGGGATTAGTAATCCAATGCAGCAGATGGTTGCCCCCAGCTCAAAAAATGATCCAAATTGTGTAAATTAGGGCATACAATATTGACAATGAAAAACTCAATTGAAATCAGGCTTGTCTGTAACTATCACTGGATGAAGCAAACACTGATGGGCCAGTAATATGATGAGTCCTCCCAGGTGTTGAAGATGACTGGATACTTAAGGTGCGATCATGTTGGTTAGAAAGTACACAATAATGGCTTTAGTTTAAGAAATTTTATGTATATAATTTTGTTTTCAGTAATGAAAATGTTGATTTATAATGCCAGTTGTAAGAAATAAAAAGATCCATCACGATGCACTCTTTTTTTAGTAGTTCCTGTCAATATTTGTATTTCATTGAATACATTTTTTTTTGTCACAAAGAGTTTTACGGCACCCCCAACACAAACAGGTCTTATAAGTGCCAAAGAATAAAGGTGTTACGAGAGCAACATACAAAAAAAGGTTAATAATTTTTTTTTTAAGTTTGCGTTTTACAGGCCGAAGGGCTGGAACCGAGTTGGCCGCTGGGTCCGAGTTGGCCGCTGGAACCGAGTTGGCCGCTGGAACCGAGTTGGCCGCTGGGTCGGTAAAGTACAGTGGAAACCTGATATAACAGGGATGGTGGGAGTAGAGAAAAAGTCCTATATCCGATCCCTGTTAAATCCGAAATGCAAGGAAAGTGAGCATTTGTGGACTAATCTAGCTCAACTAGCTGTACTTATTCATAGGTAGTTTCCCTAGCCACAAGTACCCACGAACAGGGGTTTTGGCACCGACTTTCTCCTTGCGTCCTTAAAACCACATCAGAAGAGCTTGGTCCAGAGCATCTACAGCGGGTAGTCTCATCTTCTTTCGATCCAGAGCAAACTTTTCATTGGAGTATGCTGCCACTATCTTCTCTCTATCCTTGATAATAGTGGGAATCAACCCTTGTGGAATGTCGAACTGACGACAAATCTCTGCCAGTAGAGCTTGCTTTTTCAAACTTTTTGTCAACAGTCTGGATTATTTCGTATTTTTTGTCAATTGAAAGGCTTTTTCTCTTGCGCTTGACATCGTTGGTGACCATAATGAAAGTATTGAAAAAAGTAGGCTTAGATCTAGGCCGACCGGTCGTCCTCTCTCTCTCTCTCTTACTTTTTACACATTGTTAACGAGCCTTTGTCCCTGCTATAACCGGTTGGGCTCCGATGAGGCCCTGTTATTGCCGATAACTTTTAATAGAGACAAAGAGTAGGAAAAAACGGGGATTTTAAACATCTCTGTTATTACCGGATCCCTGTTATTTCCGGGCCTGTTATATATGGTTTCCACTGTAAAAAGTTTTACAGTTACAGCGCTAGCGACTGCATAAGGTCAAATGAGCGTGCCGGACACATTAAACATTTCAGTAGGTAGGAATTTTGAATTTTGCCCGGGTGACGGCTGAAGCCTACTTTTATCGATTTTGGCCCACCAAGGGATCTTCAAAGTGCGCAACTTGCTCAAAGGACCTCCGAGATTTTTCGGCCTTATCCGAGAAAACTAGGTGTTAGATCTAACCTACCATAAGATCAGGGGCGCGACTGAAAGACAGCAGTAAAAAGAAGCCAAGGAGTAGCAGTAGAAAGGCGGCAGAAGAGTTAGGAGCTCAGAAGAGGGGGCAGAGGCAGAAAGTGGAGATGAAAGCACCTGACAGAATATTGCTAAAGCAGGAAAACAAGAAAATTTTAAGAGAAGAAAATGTTCCTGCCGCTGTACAGATTCGAACCCGGGACGTAATGAATAAGAAGTGAACACTGTAACCTCTCGACCCCGAACACCACCTCCCAAAAAAGAGGAAGGAAAGAACGATGTAGATATTTGATAAGAAAGAAAAGAGCAAACCACACCAGAGCACTCACTCAACATTGAAGGTATAGCATTTCAGCCTGTGCCTGGAGATGTTTTATAACAACATAACAAGGTTCCCACCCATGGGGGGTGGGGGGATGATTCCGTTTTTTCCTTTCCCCGGTTTCCTTCTGGATTTTGCAGCCATTGCCAGTGATCTTTCTTAAGGGGATCCACTGGTCAGATCAGTAAAAATTTTGAAAAAATATGTTTTCGGATTTTGGAGTATCTTAATAGATATCAATATCAAGGATTCATCTTTAGAAGCCTAATGGAAAATGCATTTAAGAGAGGCAGCAATGTAGGAAAATCTTCACCAAAAATTATCTCTCTTTGTAGTTTTCTCAGAATTGTTTATCTGACCAGGTTGCAAAACTATTTTGAGTAGATCTCAGAAAGTTACTGTCAGAAGTGTTTCAAATTTGCACACAATCTTTTATACACATTTCTCTATAACTTTACAGGAGCATTTTTGCTGTTTATGGCACACATTTGGAGTTTTAGGCCTTTTTTATTTTACAAAATCTTAAAACATTGGAGACCTGAATGTAGTGCATAACAAGGACTGTAACTGTAATGCTCACAAGTCAGTACAGAAAATTAAAATTTGGCTCTGTAAGGTTGTTCTACCTACCAACAGTAATCGCCATGCCAAATATTAGGCTTTTATCTTGATGAGCGTTGATGATTGACAAAATATAAAATTGGTTTTAAAAATGCTGAATCAATCCTTTATTTTTGATGGCTCGAGATTATTATTGCTAAAATTTTGAATTTTTTGCGTGGTAACTTTTTTTGTACTATGTCACCCCCTTTGATGCAGAAAAGCAAGCATTAGACCAAAAACTATAGCATTTGGGTGTTGACCATAGCTACACCCCCTTAAAAGATGTCAGCAGAACTAGGAAGTACATGTACAAATGAAGAAGAAAAAAATCGCACCATGGCTACGGACAGTCCCTATCCCTGAATATAAGTGTAATGTAAACAAAGGGGGGGGGGGAGTACTTTATTCATATATTGGCCGTTGGCTTGACTATTGCAAAAACAAAAGAAACCGACAGGACACGTCTTAGCCTTTGATCATAATTTTTAATAGAACATCACTACACATGACGCACTGGTTTTCTTTTTTTGGTTTTTTAAAAACTTTTCTCATTTGCTTAGGCTGTCACCCAAAACGCAAAGGTGCAAGAATTTTTTAACACCTTGTCACAAACTAATGTCGGGCTTTCTCCCAGCTAATGTATTCCTGAGGGCAAAGTGCTACTGAGCGACTACTGCTCGGGCTCAGTGCACAAAGGATGTACCCCCCGGGGCGGTGCCACTGACTCTGACTGTAGTGTCTTTAGGCCATTCCCAAAGGGGAGACATTTCTCGTTCAAGCACAGTAGAATTGTAAATGGGCTGATTCATCATGTCACGCTCATAACTGTGCCTGATCTGCAACAGGGAACTGCTGCTTTTTCTCTCCTAATCCTTACTATTGTCATTTATCCTCTACTTCTTTTGTATGTTTGTCACACTCTTGTGACCTGCAATTTCCGGGGTGCCTTGATTGTCGAAGCAGACTTTTTTTGTGCTGTTGAAGCTAGAGAGGTGAACAGAGTAAGTCCGATTCCCTGTAAAGACTTCTCTATCCACCCCTTGGCGCTCATATGACCTTATGCAGTTGCGAGCGCCGTAAAACCCTCTACTATAAAAAACAAAGGATGTTGTAAGTTGGCTGCACGTGACATAGCGACGTAGACTGTCGGGATCTGACTTCCTAACATATAGGCCTACACCAGGAAGGTGGGGATGGGTTGGGACAGCCGAACTGCATATACATTTCTTAAAATCGGAATCAAAGGCGAGGTGTTACAATTGTATTTTTGTAAAATTGAATCGTTTAAATTAATGATTCCACCAAACTCATAAATTGTTGGCAGCCCTTTTGATTTCCCAGCTTTCTCCAATATTTTCGTTTTCATTCATTTTCATGGTTTTTTCCCCGACCAGGAAATCTGAAAATGAAAATCCCGGCTTTTTCCCGGTTGTGTGGGAACCCTGTTACAAATACAGTGGAAACCTGATATTACAGGGATGGTGGGACCAGAGAAAAAGTCCTGTTATATCTGATCCCTGTTAAATCAGAAAGGGAAGTAAGAATTTGTGTACTAATCCAGCTGTATTTATTCATGCCTCATTTCCCTTGCCACAAGTACCCACGAACAAGGGTTTTGGCCATTGGCAGCCTGCGCCTGCAATTTACGGGTGCGTGTAGAGCTAGGCTAAGGGCTAGAAGTAGAAGACCGAATCCTGCAGCACACTGCAGCCCTCTCTCGCTTCACCCGATGCGTGTGCTTGCAGCAGTAGTATATGGCTTGCGTGGGCTTGCTCAATCACTGCGTTTCTCTCTCTCGCTTACTTTTTACACATTGTTAACGGGCCCTAACCCATTGGGCTCCGATGAGGCCCTGCTATTGACGATAATTTTTAATAGAGACAAAGAGTAGGAAAAAAGGGGGGATTTTAAAAATCCGTTATTACCGGGCCTGTCATATAATATGGTTTCCACTGTAGGCCACTCTATAGTGTAAAACTAGGAAACTATTGCTATCACCAGCAGTTGTAAACTCAAAAATGAGCCTCCGTTGAAAACTATAGGGGCCTACAACCCCAATGAGAATTTGAAACTGCAAGTGCTGAGCTGTTTCACAAAGTCAGCCAAAGATAAAGAACACTTGTCAGAACCTAGCTTATAAAGCCAAGTGTAATTACCACCATGTCCAGAATTTAAAAAATAACAACCCCGAAGTTTACAGTGGCGATAAATAACCAACCACTGCACACTCATGTGACCCTGCCAGTGAGATTTCTCCCACTTGAAGAGATATATATTACAAACATTCAGTTAAAACTGACAGTTGTCCATCCTCTTTTTAATTTTGACATACTGGTTCTGAATTACATATTTTTATGGTAGGACATAGCTCTCAATAAGTTAATAAAAGAACATTTCATCACTCACGGGCAGCAGACAGCCTTGTGCCTGGCTGTACAGTCTGTTAAGCTCGTGGCCCACAAAGAAGACGAGCATCAATTTGAACTGAACATGTAATACCCTCTTTACACTTATTTCCTGTCTCAAATGTTGACACTTGTCCAGTGCAGCATCTCTATCATCCTTCTCGCTCCCAATGACCTAAAACCAGGTAGGGCCTACTGTCCGTGCCGGCTTTAAGCACGTTTCGGACTCGAGCACGCTAAAGTAAATGACTCTTACCGAATTTTTGCTATATAAAATACACACCTTTAAGCATGGTAACTTCGGCTTCAGGCACGCTTCACTTACAAGACAGTCAATATTTTCATGATAACCCATCGAAGTTCCAATACAGTCTACACCGCAGCAGTGGAGTGTGTTAAGAGAAACACATAGAACACAGGTGATGGACACACACACGCACACGGGGAGGAAGGCAGAGAGATGCACACAGCCGCATGCGTGGACATAGGATCTAGCCTAGGGCAAAGCTATACACAAACAAAAAAAATACAAAGAGAATCTGGGAGATAAAAAAGGGAGGCTGGCTGCGATTTCACCTTTGACCCGCGCTATCCATTAATCCTGATTGTGTATCACACATGAGGTGGGATGAAGGCAGTGGTACGAATGTGGGACAGCGGGCAGTGGTACGCCCATGCAGTGTGTAGGCCTAGTGTGCTGTATTGTTACTGGCCGTCTAAATTAAGTTTTCATTTCCCATTCGATCACAAAACAAAAACAAACAAGCAAACAAAAACTACCATGGCAGGTAAAAATAACATGAAATTTTCTACATGAAAAGCTCTGGATTATGTCTACTTCGCACTTAAGCACGCTTCGGCATTAAGCACGCTAAAGCTTTCTCCCGATGACCGTGCTTAAAGCCGGCATGGACTGTATGGTGTAAGCATGTCACTTGATACATTACATTACCACAAACAAAACAGTGACACTCCTTATTGAAACAAATGGAAGAAAAGGCAGACAGTAGAATACGATAATTTATTTACAAATCAAAGGTATGCTCTGAAATTCTTCAAACCCCTTTTGATCCAACCCAGTAAAGTTTTGTTGAAATTCTGACCAACCCGAAAATGGCGATAAAGAAGAAAAAAACATCAAAGAGAAAAGAAAAGAAAAATAAGACTGAAAAATTCCCAAGACTACTGTTGCTGCTGTACTTGTGACTGGATGAGAGATACATTTTCAAAGTTTACATCTAGCCGTCCCAGATTCTCCTGCCATGTCGCTAAGTGCTGACGAATAATCTGAAATAAAAACAGCAAAAAGCAACATTAAATTCGATTTTCCAAAACAGAGGAACAATAACGTGCATCATAAATATAATAGAGGTACCACAATGCTACCTGTGGCCAAGTCTACACTCCTCTATTCAATGCAGCTCTACTTCTCCCAACGCCAACACATCTGGCACAGTGTTACTTATTTGGTTCTAGTAGTTCTACTGTAAGAAGCTAATGTTCTGCCGAACATTGAATTTTCAACTCTTCACAATTTAGCTTTAAACAGACTTGCCAAACACTCACTCCTTGACCAAAAGTAGGAGTTGTCCTCAGATTCTTCCCCAAAAATAGGAGTTCGAAGGAAAAAAATCAGTCTCCAGAACCCCTGGAGATTAAGATTTCGTAACAAACTGACCAAGGCAAATAAACATACATTTCAAATAAAACATATTTATTTTCATGCCATTTGCAGAATCCTGTTTTGAGCTTGAAAAAAGACCTAGAACCAGAATATTGACTCAATAACCAGTCTGGGAGTCATGATTCATATGATAAATGTGAAGAGGAAAACTATAGCTCAAACTCAAAAGTAGAGTAGTAACTTGGATGGCTCAAATAGACCTATTCAGTGTGAGAGGTGTGACTTAATGTAAGAACTGAGGGAGGGCAAGATGCAGAGACATTGAAAATCTGCCAATCTTGAACATAGAGCTAAATTATAGATATAAATTACTGATCACCCCATCCAATGAAACACGAACACATAAGTTCAATAACACACTTACAAGGTTATGACGGATCCTCATTCCATGCAAGGCTTGCACCAATGTGGCTTTGCAGAGAGCTCTAATAGTAGTTATCAAAATTTTTTTAATGTGCTTTCAAGTTCAATTTTTGTTCCCCCAGTCAATCTTTTTTTTTTTTTAAATCAACCCCCCCCCCCCCCCCCCGACGCCCTATACATCACAGCGCTCGGACTGCTGGTACTCACAAGATGCCTAATCATGTGATGCGAACGTGCAAGTTCACTGACCGGTCACGATGGCGAGCCCGACAAGCCGATTGTCTTGTATAACTTTCTTTTCTTCTTTTTTTTTCACATGTTACAGAACAGGACAAATATTGATTTATTTTCATGGCGACACAGCGTTTGTGAGGTTGCGTTATCTATCAGACTATTACCGAAAATTTCAGGGAAAGCGAAAGTAAATCTTGATTCTTCCCGATCGAGCTTCGGAGTCACTTATACACTTCGGTCTGCCGCCATAGCTGCCTGTTTGCGTAAAACGTACTCTCAGTCCAAGAAAAGCTGAATGAGTATTATAATAGCGACTGGCAAAAATGAACTTAAGGACGTTATCGGATTTGGTTTCCAAATATGAAAGAACTTTTATGTATGTTTCCGGGTCTTTCCCAAGGCAATTTACAGATTTCCTCAAATTCCTGGGCATTCCGGGGTCTCTGCGATTTTTTTCAAATTGCCGGGTAATTTCCGGGGCCTGGCAGTCACCCTGTTAACAGTTTATTTCACTTAATAATATCTCACCTCTGTACTCCTTGCCATGAGTTGATTCAATTATGTTTCCTCTTCATGATTCATCAACCATACTTTCTTGATAGTTACACTGCTAATATCACACAGGCCCTATCCTTTCCCAACTTCCCGATCCATCACAAAATCCCCGACTTTTTAGCAATTTCCCGACCTGGTGGGGACCCTGTAACCTGTCTGTTAAATAACTACCAACCCTAGTTTGAAGTCTAGGTTTTACGGATCCTATTTGTAGGTTCAGACAAAAATCAAGCGCTCATGAATTTATGTAGCACCAACTGACCTTTTGTTTACGCAATCATCAAAAGCCTGGATCGGATCACTAACAACACAAGCACAAACACCAACTTTTTTCTCTGATTTCACAAATTTTCAAACCCTGAGAAAATGGACCAAACCAAGCTAAAGGACAAATCTGCCCCCTAAAAAAACTCTGGTATCAGTTCCCACTTGAAGTAAAAAGTGGTCTGCACGTGCGTACCTGCCAGTGGTGCTTGCTGAATGTCCTGAAGGTGGTGGAGCTGACAATCACTTTCTCCTGGATCTGGTCTATCCTCGCCCGCACAGCTTTTGTCTTCAGCACTGACAGCACACAGAAAAGAAATGTACATTACATTCTGCAAATCAAATATAAGTAAAACATTATTGAATCAAAATGCCAACTTGAACATGCCGCATAACCTGATTTCCAAAACTAAATCTTTAAAAAATAAATAACCAAAAAAGTGGTAAAAAAAATAATAAAACCATAACATGAACAAAGTGTAAAAAACAACAACCCATCAACATAAAGAAGAAAGGGAAGGCATTGACAGAGACCAGAGTTAAGCACTCTGGGTATAAAATGGTGCAATGTTTAGAAAGGATAAAAAGATTTAAACATGGACTCCACAAAAGGGTTTCAAATTAATCTTCAGCACCAATATAATGACATTGTGTTGCAAGTCCTATAAAACTTACTAAAACAGACAGAACAGTATCCAAGAGATAAAAAAGACCCACCATCGATGACGAATTCCTCAACTTGATCTTTGTCAAGCTGCATCTCTTCTTGTATCAGACTAAAGTCCATTTCCTTGCGGTTCTCACACATCTGCATGAAGGTCAAAAGTCGCATCTTCCGCACATTCTCTTCATGAGAAGGACCTAAACAGTAAGTCAACGAAAAGGTTAGCAATTTTGTCACTTAGGTATACGTGTCACAATGAGGTGGAATCAGGCACTCTTCAATTTTTGGGCAAGCAGAGTTATTGAATTGATCTAAAAGCTTTATTAGTCTTACTTTCCATGACAAAAATACTCATCTTTCTTGAATAGGAGTCAAGTTATTTGCGATTAAAGGAGGTGGGGGTTGCCTGGTGTCAAAAAGATAAAATTAGCTAGAAAATAACCACCACCAAAGTTTGGTAACTTCCAAAGCTCGAGAGTCCTTGAAAACTGCAAAATTACATCTTTTATGCCTTTAATCAACTTTTTAAAATAAAATCCACACAGGAATGTGATTTTACATGGACATATAAGGTATTGAGCACAAAAAAAAAAAAATCTGATAAAAGTTACTAAACAGGCAGAAAAAATGACGGTTTCTTCGATTTAAGAATATTGACGAGTGCCCGATTTCACCATATATTGCCTAACATGTAAACCTATACAAATTCCTAAATCTCCAAGTGTGTAACACCTTCGTTCACCAGTGTTGTCTGAAGATCACCAGTAGTGAATCTACAGCAGAGATGCCAACCACAGAAAACCGAAATGAGTATTGGGAAATAAGAAAATGTGTATTTTCAGGGGAAAATGTGTGTTCTCCACGGCCGACCGATCAACTAGTAAAATGTTCAGGGTGTCCAGCAATATTTCCTGAAAAAAATTTACTAGCTCACCAGCTCGAAAAAGGGAGCACACATGCGTACAATAAACATGTATCCAGTCAACAACATGTCAGTGTTCAGTGTCTTACTGGGGTCTTGTTTGACTTAAGTATTTCAGTCTGTTATAATATATTCCTCTCATTATTATTATACAAAATTAATCCTGTTTTGAGCGTTCGGAAGGGCCTAGAACAAGAATTTCGACGATCAAGAACCAGTCTGGGTGTCATGATTCATATTATGAACTGACAGACTAAAATTATTGCTCAAACTCAGAGAAGAGCAATAACTTGAATGGCTCAAGTAGACCCATGCACTGTGAGAGTTGTAACAACTGTGGGAGGGCAAGATGCAGTGACACTGAAAATCTGCCCGTCTTGAACAGAAAGCTAGAACATACATTGTAGGTATAATTTACTATCACCCTTCCAATGACACGCGAACATTTTATTTCAATTACACAGACTTGCAAAGTATGAAGGGTCCCGATTCCGCACACGGCCTGCACCAATGCGCGCCTTGCAGAGAGTTCTAATCAAAATTCTGAAATTTGCCTCCCAGTTTTTGTCCTCTGGTGTTGCCTTCACACCCCCCCCCCCTTGAGTGTATTAAAAAAAATAATCAATAATCCCCTCCCGTAGTCCTATACTTGGCAACGCCGTTACTCCCACCAAACACGGTCTTTGCTCACACGATGCCGCATTTATTTGTGATGCGAATGCGCGCAGGTTCATTGACCGGTCACAATGGTGAGCCCTACAATCTAAAAATCGGACGACGCTTGTATTTTCTTTTCTTTTTTTCCTACAGCACAGAGACGAGTTCGAGAAATTTTATTTGCAAGGCAACACAGCGTTTACACTGCACAACCTGCATGTCACAAACAAGTTGCGGTATCAGTCTACTGCTGGCAAACTTCTCGGTGGTAACGAAAGCGAAAGTAGATCTTGATTTTCCCGATCAAGCCTCGGTGTCACATACACTTCCGCCTGCCGCCACAGCCGCCTGTTCGCGTGAAAATAAAACATACTCTCGGAGGAGGAAAAACTAAACGAATATAATATCACAATCGCGACCGGCAAAAATGAACTAACTGACCTTATCGGACTTGGTTTTCAAATATGTATTCCAGTTCCGCGATACTGATACTATTTTGACAAAAGAGGGAACTTGAATTAGGTTTACTCGCCCAAACTGGATCTCGTATTTTTCGCATTCCAAGATGCGTATTTTTTCATGAAAAGTCGCATTCGCGTATTTTCGGCAAAAAATCGTACTAAAATACGTAAAATCGTACTGGTTGGCATCTCTGCTACAGACATCGTAAGAGTTTTCCAGCATCTACAGTGTAATCCTGACCACAAGTAAGTCTTAAAAATTCGGAAAAAGAAACAAAACAAACACCACTAGAAATATGATTTCCATTTTGACAACATACCAGTTAGTTGACTTTGACTTTTAGCACCAAACATCACAAGCACTATACTTTTCTCCCAGTGACATTCATGTCTCGCAGGTTTTTGTGACACAAGTTCAAGCAAAATAAAGTAAAACAAGCGAAATATTTCACACTACTGCATTGCAACTTCAAAGTGCTATCTTATCGCACCATAGACCTATTTACAATAAACCATTCTTACCTAGTGAGTTAATGAAGTCTGTGTGATTCTTGTAGAACTGCTGGTATTGACCAAGGTTACCAGACACAAATATTGTTAAAAGCTGTAAAAAAAAGTTATAACAAGTTAATCAACGATCTTTTGACTTTCATGTCCAACAATCTACTCAACCCGCTCAAGAAATCTAAAACGATCTAAGAACCCAGTTTACTTAACATAACATATATATTTATCTCCTCAAAGTAAAGGGGTTCTGAACAGATTGTAAAGAAAAAGGATAAAGAGCTACACTTTTATAGCATACATTGAAATATCTCCCAATATTAAATACAGTATACACAGTTAATAACCAAACCCTTCATTTATACATACCCCAGGAACTGACCCATGAAAATAACTTTTGTTCTCCTAACTTTGAAAGCTAAAACTGACAAGTAAATTCATGGGGGGAGGCAATAATGTTTGCATATCCGTGAATCCTTGATGCTATACCAGAAAATATACAAATTTAGAGCCAAATTCGAAGAGCTCTTTGAAAAATGGCGTGCATCAGGGAATGCCTGGTGCATATATATACATGCATGCGTAAGTGTGTATATATGTGCCTGGAGAAAGGTCCCAGTTGTCGGAAATTTGGGATATTGAAATATCGGGCATTTCTTGAAGAACATTCAATGTTGAACATGCTGATTTTTTCAAATAGCTTGAGCAGTTTAGAAGATATGCCACATTTTGTAACATAGAGTGTAGAACATGGGTCTCAACTCAGAATTTTAAAAAAGGAGGAACTTTCCGCGTGAACGCGATAGAAGACCATATTCGCGAGACACCCAGTAGATCTACAGTAGATTCCGCCTAAGATTCCATTGTCTTAAGAAAACATAATTTTTACTCTACAAAAGTCATCCCTAAGAACCCGCTCTGATTCACTCAGAAGGTCTACATCCGGCTAAGATCCTGCATTTCTATCATAATTTACGGAACAAAAACTCGGGCCGGCAAAACCGAGAGGGAAAAGTTGAGATCAAAGAACTGCCCGTCACATCAAAGTTCAGCCACTCTCATGAATGTAATTACACAAGCGTTGTAAAACTCGATCAAACAGTACAATGTTTGCCCCAGACGGGATCACATCAATGTGTGAACTGACGCGTTCGTTTTCCCCAAACATTGTCTCGCATCTGAGCTCTCCTAAACTTACATCACCACGCTCCAGGCGGGATCACATCAAACTGAACTCTTCCCTGACCCAGCAATTTTCTCTATTTCTAAATTTGCGAGGCAGACTAGAGAGGGTTTTACGGCGCTCGCAACTGAATAAGGTCATATGAGCGCCAAGGGGTGGGAGTCAACAGAGAAGTCCTTACAGGGAATCAGACTTACTCTGTTCACCTTTCTAGCTTCAACAGCACAAAGTCAGCTTCGACTATCAAGGCACCCCAGAAATAGCAGGTCACAAGAGTGTGACAAACATACAAAAGAAGTAGAGGAAAATGACGATAGTAAGGATTAGGAAAGAAAAGGCAGAAGTTCCCTGCTGCAGATCAGGCACAGTTATGAGCGTGACATGATGAATCAGCCCATTTACAATTCTACTGTGCATGAACGAGAAATGTCCCCCCTTTGAGAATGGCCTAAAGACACTACAGTCAGTGGCACTGCCCTGGGGGGACGAGGCAGACTGAATTTTAATTGGTGTAGTTACAACGTAATGGTGCGTAGTGACAAAGGCAGGGAACTCGGTCAGAAATGGAATGCTATAAATTTTCGACAGGTTAAGGGGAGGGGCAACTAGATAAGCATAGATCTTGAGACTTATGACTGGATAACAGGTGAAAATGGCACGCCTCCTGCCACTATGCACTGGGTTTTTTTTCATAAGAGTTTTACGGCACTTGCAACACAATGAGGTCATTATAAGTGCCGAAGATTAGAGACGATACAAGGGAGTAACAAAGGGTGCACTGCGATAGACCAGCAAGGTTAACCAGTCTTTGCTTGCCATATGTCATAAACCCACCTAGGGGTCAAGTCAGTTCATTTTAGAGTGGAGCGAGACCATTTTACCGATTGTGAGCCTTAACATGGGTCACCATAGATTCTTCCCTGGATTCGTCGGCTAAGATCCTGCATTTTCCTTGTTCCCGAGCACCAGGATCTTAGGCGGAGGCTACTGTATTGATATACAATTTAACCCTAGAATGCTGAAGTAAAAACCATAAATTTATCGAAGTAAGGTTATTTCATACCAATTTGATGGTTTGGAAGATAATTTCAAGATAAGAGCCACTTACCAAATCTTGATGTACAGAAAGTGGTAGCGCATTAGCGATAGCAGAGTTTTGCAGATGAAATGACAGTGGCGAAAAACCGCTAAATAACAGAATATTGAGACCCATGGTAGAAAGAAAGTTTGGAGAAAAACGCCTTAAACCGTATCCAATTTCTGGCCTATTTAAAACTCTTTGGTGAAGTACATGTTGCAATAATAATTAATTAAAAAATATAAAATCCTTTCAATATGTTATGAAGAAATGGTTCACCTTTCACCTCATTGTAAAAAAATAACTTTGGGGACAACTGGGACCTTTCTCTAGGCATATCACACTGCCACTGTTCACACACACACACAGCCTAGGAACATACATCATGAATGAGCTCTCCCTCCAGAAACTTGACCGGCTTGAGGGAGAGGAGGTGATCCATCAGGAAGGTGTTTGGGTCAGCCAGACAGGTGACGATACACTTGTGGGCGTCGTCCCTGGCCTGAGAGGCATTGTCCTCTGTGTACGTGCCCAGCAGCTCAATCATGACCTTGGTGGCCAGCTCTCTACAAACAGTCATATATGAAATACCTTTCAACAACGCAGATTAATGCACACACTGATACATGATAAAGTCTTCCAAGCATCAAATTATATCCCATTCCTAAACTATCTGAGCCAGGGCACGGGTGACACTGACTACGCTGTCTGCAGTTCACTGCCAGTCAACCTGAGAACTGTAACATGTCACATACTCTGACAGACAATATTACAGGCTCTCAATGATATATATTCAAAGTTAGAAGTAGGAAAGTGGCCAACTGGAATCTTTATGCTGTTTATGTGTGTGGGCTGAAATGGTAACCAGTGCACATCCACTGCCACCTTGGATGACCCAAACTGTTTCATCTCTGTTGCATCTATGCACTGATGGATATCATCATGATCAATCCACCGAACAAAAGCAAAGATGCATGTCATGTACATATACTTTCCTTTAAATATTAAGAACACCATTACAGTTTATCTTCAAACACAATAACATGATTGATACAATAGTATTAAAAATGTTTAGTCTTAGTTTTAGTTAGAGGATTTTTACAGCAATTGCAAAGCTCCAAAGATTAAAAAGGGTTACTAGAGAGTAAAATACAAAGGGGAAAAAAAAGGACAGATGAGGATGATCGATATTTGATAGGAAAGAAGAAGAAAACCATAGCAAAGCACCAACAAACTACCCACAAATAAAATGTCCTTCATCAGAAAAATGATAAAGCCACAAAAGCAAAGATTCAAGACTACTATTATAAAAATAGTCACACAAGGTGGTACTGTGGTAAGACTTCAGGAGTAAACATTTTTACAGCACTCTCAACATTAACACTTCAGGTGAAAGGAAGTGAAAGGCAGACTGAGACGATAGTAATAGTAGCATGACAGAACATGTACTACAAGAACAATTGCTTCAAAAACCACAGTCAAAATAACGAGGACATGAATGAAGTTCACATGACTGACGGCATGAGGAAAAAAAGTAGGGAAATCATCCTTCCAGCCAAAGGGGAAGTCAAACGACATGCAGACAAGCATACTCCCTGTTCATGAATGTATCAGAAAATATTGGAAAAAGGGAGGAGGTGCTCACTTAAATTACACAAGAGCATCTAGGATCAGTTGATACATCCCACTATTAGAATATATGTGACAAGCTGACAGACAAAACAAGGGCAAACGCAAATCAAACAGAGAAGGACATTAAAAAGAAAAACAACAAAGACATAACCAAGAACTGAGATTCATTACAACACCTACGAATAGTGTTAACTAATGAAAGGGAGACTATTATTAAAATAGGAATGTGCGTGGGCTGAAATGATGAAAAGATATTAGTACCCTTCCATCTTGGAATCCCACACAATACTTTTGTAGCATCATTGAGGTGTACAAGTCTCAGCAAGTCAACTATCACCAATGTATACAACAAAAATGATGCATTCTCATTAACAATCTAATAGAAAAGCTGCTAACAAAATTAACATGAGAAACACTCTTGTGCCAATTTATCACTGAATTAAAACAATCAGGGAAAAACATTAACTGAGAGCTTTGAATATATTGCAAACACTGACGTTAACAAAATTCGATATCATGAGGTTTTGCAGAACTGCAGAAATAACCAGGCCTTATGCAGTTGCGAACGCCGTAAAACCTCTATTAAAGCAAAACAAAAAATGAAATAACCAGTGATTGAGAAGTACTTCAAACTTAGTTTCCTTAATAATGTCCATAGATCGCATGTAATAGACTGCAACAATAGTAGCAAAAAGGCAGGAACGAACCACACTAGAATCAAGAATGCCATCCACATAACAGATGTAGTTAGCAACATAAATTGTATAACTGACCTAACAAAACAGGCACATGTGCAAGAACAATTTCTTCATGTAAAATGTCGGGACAAATGCATATTTGTGAATAATAAATATTTCTTCTTTGCCTTTGTCGCTGAAAAATGACCCACCTCATGTTACAGGCTATCAAAGACTCATGCATTGTCCTGTACAGCACTTGGACTTTGGCAGAACTGATTTTCCATTGACCAATCCACTTCTTTATCTGCAAAGGTCAAACAGTAAAAAATAAAATTGAGTGTAAAAGTTCAGAGTGAGTGTGTACTAAACTTAAAGGATTACATCTTTTGCACTTCTTTCACAAACCGCCTTTTCAGAAACAAATCCAAATCAAAACAGTAAATCCTGGTAAAATTCTCGAGCCAAAATGACCAACCCCCCCCCCAAACCTCCATCCAAACAATAACTTGACCAACAAAAGTATCTTTGCGCTAAGTTTTACTCAATCCACATATCTTCAAACTTTCAGACAGTCACCACCTGCATCTCAGCCTTTTTAAAATATGACATCAATACACAAAAGTATCTTTGCGCTAAGTTTTACTCAATCCACATATCTTCAAACTTTCAGACAGTCACCACCTGCATCTCAGCCTTTTTAAAATATTACATCAATACACTAATAAACAGCATTTTGGCAACTTAAGAGAAACAATAACAAAACCATAAAAGTGTCATGGCACTGTGGAATCAGGCACTTGTCAATTTTGGGGCATATAAAGTTATTGATATAATCTAGAAGTTTGCTCATTTGTATTGTTTTCGATGTTAAAAATTCCCATCTATTTTGAATAGAAATATTTTGGTTGAAGGGGGTGGGGATCACCTGGTGTCATAGGAAAAAGTAGCTAGAAAATGGCCGCCAAAGTTTGCCGACTTCCAAAGCTTGACAGCCCTTAGGAACTGTAAATTTACTTTTTTTTTGTTGCAAAGTTCAGCAGTTTTTCTATAAAATTCACACAGAAATATGTTCTCCCATGGACATAAAAGGTGTTTAACTAAAAAAATAATGGATTTCTTTGATTTAATTACTTTGACAGGCGCCTGATTTCATTGTGACGCCACACATATTTGACTGACGATAAGTTTACAAATACATTTCTCTTTTTACTCTCTTGTCCACACACACACTGTTACATTCACTGGAAACATGAATGACTTTATTATTTACAGCAAAACATAATTTTCTGCGATCTGCTGAGTTTTTACCTTGTCTAGATCGACAGGCACCATAGAGAGTAGATCATTCTGTCCAGCCAGACGCACCATACTGCACAAAACCACATATCTCAGGCTTGCCTCTTCATCCAGCCCATAAAACAGGTTACTCAACCTGGAAAAAGAAAAACGTTGGTCCACTAGTGAGAGAGAAAACAAAAAAAGTCAACATAACAAAACATGTACTAGCGACATTCTTGACAAGAATACGCTATTTCAACAATACCATGCAATGATCTGCTTGTACAAAGAGGTAGAATTGCACAATTAATCATATTTTAAAAATTTTACGGGAAAAGGTCTACAAAACGAGTTGCAAGTACAAATAGTTATGAAACAACTCTTACAACTGATTATCACGATATCAGATGAATATGCTGTCTTAGCTAGTCACCAACCATTACAAGATAGCAGGAGAGAAGCTGAATAAAACCAAAACAATTTAAATGAGGTTTGTAAAAATAAATATTACACTTTTTGTACTGAAAAATATTCAGGGACAAATTCTTAAATAATCATAATCATAACTTGAACAATTTGCAATCTTGAAAAGAAAAGAAATCAAACGTCAGTCCCTATTCATGGAAACAACTTGCATAACAGAGACAACTTACATCCGCAATCTTAAAGCTGCCCGTTTGTCCCCGTCAGGCAGCTTTCCCACCTTTTCACAGAAAAGAGTGACCACACTTTCTGCCTCTGCCACCGGGACTACTAGCAGCAGTGAAATGATGCCACTGAAGACCATTTCAATTTCTGAAAAGGATAAGAACAGAAAAGGCCCCAATTTTATTGACTTTTGTAGAGACAGTTGTCTTACAATAAAATTGCAAACATAACAACCTTTGGGACCCACCAAAGGCACAATATTTTAGTTTTTTAGTTTTAGAGGTTTTATGGCGCTCGCAACTGCATAAGGTCATATGAGCGCCAGAAGACTAGAGGTGTTACAAGAGAGTAACAAACATAAAAAAAGAAGTAGGGGAGAAAAGGATGATAGATGTTTGATAGAAAAGAAGGAGCAAACCACACCAGAGCACCCGCCAACCACCCACAAAGGCACAATATAATGATCTAAACCACAACATAGCTGGCTCAGATCTGAAAACATTTCCCCTGACATCTCACAGTGTTTTTGATTGGGACAAAAAAAGTAAAAAGTAAACACCTAAACATAACAGCAACAGTCAACAACACAAACAAAAAAATTAACATTGTACTGCTGTTTGCTGCAGTGCACCATGCATCCAATTTCTGAGCTAGGGCTAATTTATGTGTCTTGTAAAAGAACACATCCTTACCCTTGGCCACCTGAGTCATTTCACTCCTGGGCATTCGATAGACATCGAACCTGAGTAAAACAGAGGCTGCGATTGGCCAATAGTCAAGGTGTTAGAATTCGTTTAGTCAAGCAAAATTGGTCAGGGTACAGCGATGAGGAAGTTGGTATTTTGGTACTATTCTCTTGCTATGAACAATATAAGGAGTCTTGAACAGTGTCTAACATTAGACACTAATAACATTTACTATTTAACATAAAAGTCTACAAGTCAGTGATACTGAAACAAGAGGATAAAAACAACTGGGACCCCATTTTTTGCATCGGCAATAAGTACTAGAGTCAATTGAGGACAAACCGGCCATGACTGGCACTGATGTCTATTTTTGCTTCGTTTATCTTTGTTTATCATTGGATAATTTTGAACTCCTGCCAAAGTCGTCTAGAAAGGTACTTTCTTCCCATGAAGGTGTCATCATCTTTTGTTTTGATCAGCAAGTGTCAACTTTACTTTCGGCTAAGAATCTCCCAAAATGTAAGTCCCTCCCTCATGCTTGTGGGTTACAGTGAGTGAAAGGAAGTTGTTTGCCAGGGCGGCAGGGCTATTGTAACATTGTTACGGTAGCTTCCGGGTCAACTGAGAGAGTTCAAAAGTCAGAACAGTACAGGCACATCAGAAGACCCTGCAAATCACTGGGCGGTGTTCCCCTTTCATTTTAATTTTAACCCCATAGTGGGGTGGCTGGTTTGAGCAAGCACAATTTTCATGATTTTGCTCCAACCGGCCGGAAATATTTTCTTGTGCTTAAAGAGTTGTATTTTACATATGACAGAGCTAAAAATTTAATGTTTGCAGGGGTCGTTAGCACATTACAATGTGAATATGTATGTGTGCATGAGTGCGTGTGGATGTGAGTATTAAGGTCTAGTTGCATATGTGACTGTAAGCTATATATATATTATGTGTGAGTGAGTATAAACATAGACCAAGTATAGTGTTCGTATGTGCGTCCACGTATGTTTGCAGTGTGTAAGATGGTATGGTATGGTGTGTAGTTTGTAGATCTATGTGTATGTGTGTATGTTTGAGTGTGTGTGTGAGACTGCGTTTTGTGCATGTTTGAGCTTTAAAACCCAGGAATTGACAAAGCCCGGGCAGATGGGTTGCCTACTACGATAGATCCACCTGGTGCTGACAGTTGAATAACTAAATAAATCCAAAAATGATCTGGTGATCTCTTACATTTATATATATGGGATTAAACAAAGGAAAGGAGTATTTTCCTTCACCAACGAGGGTAGCCGGTTTGAGCAAATGGGTGGCCGGTTTGAGCTCAAAGGTTTCAAGAGCGGCCGGTTTGAGCAAAATGTGACCACATACAATTTATGTGTATCATCCGGATATTATTTAACACCAGTTCTGGAGTCCGAATATAATTTTTATCTATTCGGACTCGAGTCCCAATATTGGTTTTATCTATTCGGACTCAGCTTCTAAGTGAGTTATGTGCTTTTAAAGAGATTACATAATACAACTGTCGTTGGGGGATTTTTACTTAAAACCAGAATTAGAACTAGAATTGCCTACTAGGACTAGGACTGTAATAGTGTCAAAAGTCAAAAGACAGCACTCTCTTTAGATCTACCCGACAGCAGTGTCTAGGTACACGGTAACCGACAACTCAGGGTCTTTCCACCACCACTACAGTAGACTACAGCATCATCATTACTTCCACCACCATTTCTTTCCACGTTTAATTTGATATTGCTGTGTGTTGAATTTTTCCGTAATTTTTTTAAAAATCACATGGCACAAAACCGACAGCCATGGCCTCTTCTCCCATAAGCCGAGAGTGCGATATCGCTACGCACACTCTCATTGGTCGACATAATTAACTTTGCCCCCGGCAAGGTCAGCTCAACTTAGTTTTGTTCATACTAATTGACGCAGGGAGGGCCGGTTTAGATAGATCTAGTAACTGGATATAAAAGCTCACGTCTCCATTGTTATCATTATAGCCTAATAGAAAAAAAATTTCATAAATGCTGGAAATAGGCTTCTATTTAGGAAAAAGGGTCGGAAGTCGGAACGGACGTCATGCTGGACTCAATTCAGAGTCTGAATATAATTTTGTCTATTCGGACTTGGTCACTTCCATTATCTAAAGGGTCGAAATATTGCTGGTTCACTGCAAACCGGCCACCTTTGACGTTTATTTTCATTTTGCGACATCACCCTTAGCAATCAGTCCTATTTCGGGCCCACAATCTTGTTATCTTTGCAGATGGCTCAAACAGCAGAGGGTAAGAGTTTACTGGCTGATTTGACCTCAATTGACTCTAGATCTAAATGACAAAAATACATAAAAGAAAGACCTTCAGTTTTATCCCATTTTTAATCAAATAATCACCTCTTCCCACACAGGAACTAAATCTACAATACTGAAGCAGCTCTAGATCTACATACAGCCTACCTGTATCATTGTTGAGGTTCCAACAAAACTTGCTCGCCTCCAATATGTTCTTTAGATCAGTCGACAGTCCAGACTCAGCATTTTCTTCAGAAATTTCAGCTCCAAGGGACTTGAAAAAACTTCGCAGTTCCAAGGTCTGAAAATTGAAAATATTACAAATCACAATGACCGTAATTGTACAGGAGTTCCCAGAGTTGGGAAAGAAGTTTGTTGGCTGGATTGTACTTTACCGGACCACCAATCTCTGTCCGTGATTACTACGCACCCCTAGTGTAACTACGCACTCATAGTGCTCTACGAGCGGACAAAAGGTAGTTCCGCGGGCGATTTCGCGCACGCACAGCGCAAGCCAGCGGCGACTGGTTCGGCGAGGTGAGCGAGGGCAGGGGATTTAACTTTGGTGGACCACCGTGTATCATACCAACGGGGGGGGGTTCAGGGGTTCTTGCCCCCCCCCCCCCTGGAAACTACAAAAAAGAAAACACACAAATGGAAACAATAACATGAGCGGACAGTCGTATTTACATTATATCAATGTAACAACAGGGGGGGTTTCAGGGGGGCTCTAGCCCCGGCAACAATAATTCAAAAACACAGATACACATATATATATATAACAAACAATAACATGAGCGGACAATTGGGGTAGATCTATTAAGAGTTGGAACAGGCCGAGCCTTGCTTCGCCGCACTCGCCAAGTCACTAGCCCAGGGCCGAGGGGGTTGCAATTATAATTATGCAAATGAGCTCTCGTGCGCATCTCTCGTCCTCCATTGTACTTTGCCGGACCAGGAGTAGGCTAGGCCTAGCCTAGCACTAGCAGTAGCAGAGACGCGAGCAATTGAATAGTGGACCACATGATTAGATTGACCAATTAGCCTCAAGGCGCCAGGGTCGTGGGTCAAAAGGCACGGTAGCATGGTCATGATCACTGAAAAACCCGGTAAGAGACGTCAGTCGATTGTGGGCTGTTGAAGTGTGAGGACGTAGAAAAGTGGGCGCTTTTTCGGTAGTTCCCACCCTGCAATTGTGTTATTCGCGGGTTTTGGCCCCAAGAGTAGGGGGGTTTCAGGGGTGCCCCCTGACCTAATAAAAATGAGGTGGGGGGTTTCACCATAATTTAGCTATGACAATGAAAAATTAAATTTTCATCCAAATTGCTTAAATGAAAATAGAGTAAATTCTAAGAACAATGGTTTTTAAATTTTAAAAATCCATTTTTAAATTTTTTAAAATCCATTGATAAATTTAAAAAGTTATTGGGATTTTTGTTTGAAGATTTGATGTATTTTGAGGAAAAACTGTTCATAAGTCAGTAATGAATAGAAGCATAAAGGCATTAGAATGGAACTTGGCATCTTCATGTGATTTTTAGTGCAGAATCTAGATCTAGTTCTGCTATCACTTTTTTATTGTTTTTATTACTTTGGATCTTAAAGACTGATATTTGCATGAAATTTGTTGAATTGCGTGACAGGCGCAATCACCCCTTCTAAAACTCAGTAAAGCACTATCATGAAAACCCGCGATGTAGTCATCGGGGCGATTTTGTAGTTTCGTTCGTTAAAGTCAAGAGCAGGGGGGTTCCAGGGGGGCAACTTGCACCCCTGACCTAATAAAAATATGGAGGTGGGGGGGTTCAGGGGGGCATGCCCCCCTGAATTTTATCCCAATTTGATGTTTTGCAGTTAGGTTGCATCCCTGCTCTTTGTGTAGCCTAATTCAAATAGTATTTGGTTTTCAAGACTTCTGGATATAAACAAATGGATCGTGGACTTTAACAAACGGAATTACAAGATCACCGTCATCGGTGACCTATTTGGTTATAGGCAGCCAATCACATGCCGCCTAGCTATCACGCGCCTCTTGCATGCCGGCACCTCGCGTTCGGAATGCGTGATCTAGTTTCCAGCTCTAGTGTTTTTATCAATGGATGGATGGTAATTTTAAGTTGGTATGTAAAATCTATTCAACGGAGAGATCTGAAATTTTACAGCAATAAAGAAAACATGCGGGGCGCTTGTGTGGTCGGCGATCAACCCGCAGCTCCGCTTAGTTTTCGAACCGCAGAGGAAATTCGCACAAACACTGCAATATCTCCGGTTCTAGTAATCATTCGGGATTGTACGCTGATATGTCGTTAGTTTAACCTTTCCTCTGATTGGTAGCCGAGTTTCATTTATTTTTGTACAGGAGGAGTTTTTCCGTAACTAGATCTAGATCTAGATTATTTAGATCTAGATCTAGATCTAGATCTAGATCTATGCTTAGAAGAGAGTCACTTCTGATTCCGAGCGGCCCAAAATTTATCCCTCGCGCAGAGGCCGATTTCCGGCCCAAGGCACAGCGGGCGATTGGCATTGCTACGCTACAATAAACATACTATCTAGAATCTACATATGTATAATTTGATGTTTTGCAGTAGGCCTGGCCTAGTTAGGTTAATCTTAGCTCGCTGTGCATAAAATGTATAGATCTAAATGTAGATCTAGATTCTAGACTAGATCTACACTCAAATAAGGGGAGTGGAAACTGCCGAAAAAGCGCCGAAAAGTGAGATGGAGAGTTCGGAAAGGAAGAATAGCGGGCCACTGGGCACCAGGGGTGCCATAGCCAAAGTAGTTCCGACCGGTGGTCCGGTAAAGTACAATCTTACCGCATTGTTCACTAGATTCTAGATCTAGATCTAGAATTCTAGATGTAGATCTAATCTAGATCTAGATCTAGATCTACAAATCCAAAAAGCAAACTCACCAAAGCCAATGTGCGAAAATGTCGAGAGTCGAGAGGCCTGGGTTATCGATAATAGGTACAAAATACCTCTAACAGCTGCTGAATGATCGTCCTTGAGATCAGCACGATCTCCATCAACATTTCACAACTTTTCATTTTCTTGATGAAAATGTGTACACAATTAGTTCCCACAATACGTAACAAATTATCAATGCTTACCTGATGTGGCACGGCAATATCGATGAACACCGGCACGTTCATGATTGCGGTGTGTGAAAGGAGGTGACGAATTACTCCCCGGATTTTTTCGATCCCTCGAATTCGCTTGACCTAACAGCTTTGCAAGTTATCCGAGCCCACAGAATCCGAGCCAAACCCCACCAGCATTGACCTCCATCTGCTAGACCTCAACGACTAACAATGCTGTAAGGGAGTGTGCTTGTGATAACCTTTATTTATTTTATTTTTTCGTAAAGCAAGTTATTGCATTTATCGTTGGATTCTTTGAAAGCACTACGATGAAGCCAAAGTGTCACAAAGATTAAAATTAGCGTTGAGGGTGACTATGGAGCCAACATTATTTATTTCCTTAAAATCCCCCCTCTCTCTCTTTCTCTCTCTCTCTCTCTTTCTCTCTCTCTCTCTCTCTCTCTCTCTCTCTCTCTCTCTCTCTCTCTCTCT